CCTTTCTGTTCAGGCTAATGTACACGGAGAAAAAAACTTCGTGCGTGGGACCCGAAGTTGAGCTCATTTGGATCTTTGAAGTTTTCGGATCACGTACCTACAAATTTGAGGTCCAGCTGCCGAAGTTCGGGTCAGACATCGAGACACTTCGGTATGTACCGGAGTACTTCAGATGTGTGACCCGAACCCTTCGGTATGTATCGAAGTATTTCAGATGTCTGACCCGCACTTCGGCCGCTGGACCTCAAGTTTTTAGATACGTTATCCGAAAACTTCAGAGATCCATATGACCTCAACTTCGGGTCCCACGCACGAAGTTTTTTTCTCCGTGTACTAATCTTAGAAATAAAATTATATAAAGAAACATACATGAAGTACAGCAAAACAGGATGCAAATCAACGTACTCCGAAGTTGAGAAATTGCCTACGCATGAATATTGAAGGCGAACATAAGAACGCAGTGCAGCAGTGAAATGACGCAGAACGTTCACCGGCGCGGCGGGAGGTGCTTGTTACTGCGCAGCGCTTAAATTGCACTCAAGAATATTTTTATCGTCGCATAAAAATGGTTATGGCGTCACAGTAAACGTGAGGAGTAGCAAGGTCGTCACTTCGTCCCATTGTGAGTTACTTGACGGTGAAATCTTCCCAAATTTCCCAAGTTCGTCCTCAGTACGTTTATATGCTCGCCTTCATTGCGCGTGAGTAGGCAATTTCTCAACTCAGGAGTACGCTGATCGGTATCCTGTCCGCCGTTTTCCTCATTATTTTCATTTTTCTTTATCTTCACCGCAGCGCGACGTCTTGCTCACTTTTACAGTCTGTTTTATCATCTCTTAACACGATGAGACCAAAAAAAAAAAAAAAAANAAAAAAAAAAAAAAAAAAAAAAAAAAAAAAAAAAAAAAAAAAAATAGTAATGCTGGTTTTGGAGATTTCACAGCTTACAAAATAATAACTCGATCACTGAGACCAAGTGCGAATTTAAGCCATCATGTTACTTGTCTTCCAATCAAAATGTGGTGTGCGACATGACTCGTGCACAGTGATGGAAAATATCATGAAATTTATTCGCGTGAAATTTCATGGAATTTGTCGAAACTTTTGGGGATACACCCAGGAGGCCCAAAAACGCCTGGAAACAGTGATTCTAGATTTTGACATTTTTCACCCCAGAAGCATTCACTGGTTGCAAATGTTTTCGTTCGGTTTGGAGGTTAGCTTGGGACTAAATTCCTATCTCAACTCCCTTTCGTGCCTCCCTTCGTGCACCTCATTCGGGTAGCACATACTGCTGCATCAACAGAGAGACCATCTGAAATTATTTCCGGACTTCCAGAAGTTTAATTGATAATTCCGAAAAAACTAACAAATTTCAAATTTTGTGAAATCTCTCCGAGCCCTTTGAAAGTTCACTTTCCATCTCTCTTCGCGCTTACGCAACGTAAACTGCCCTCTGAAATTAACTTCCAACCAAGATATTGACAATGAAAAAATGGAGGGATTACCCGGATGGTTTCACGATAACTGGAATAGTTTTGTCGCCGTAATAGGCACCACACATCTCGGTCATATTTTTAGTAGAAACGATAATGACTCGATTTTTTTTGCATTAATCTACACAGAGTTACGTGCTATAACGCTTTTCAAAAGATGAATCGCTCTACTTTTCAATGTTAATATATAAATGGCCGAAAATGTGCTGTCTGTTACGCTGACTTTCTACCGCGTAACAGACAGCACATTTTCGGAATTTACATAATATTAATTGAGAAGTAGAGCAATAAATCATTAGAATGCGTTATAATACATAACCGACATAACCCTTTGAAGATTAATGCGAAAAAATTCGAGTGATTATCATTTCTACTATTTATCGGACCGCGTTAAACAGAAAAGAACCAAGCCACATCAGCTGTTGCCTTCAACCGGGCAATTTAATATTTTACATAAAAACGGTCGTGCGGATTTTAACGCGAATTTCAGTGAATTTTTTTCCATAGCACGAAGCGAATTCCTTGAAATTTTCAAACGATTCCGCACAAACGTTCTCTCGTAAAAAATTAAAGCGCCCCTTTTAAATTTGGCAGTAGCTGATGTGGCTTGGTTTCTTTCTGTTAAACGCGGTCTAAATATGACGGAAAAATGTGTTGTCTGTTACGGCGACAAAACTATTCCAGTTATCATGAAAGCACCCACCCCATCGTCAAGAAACTGGATTCCTCTCTTTGGAACACGATCCGATTCGTCGCTGTCTCTAGAGTCCCTTTATACTGAGAGTCAAGACAACACCCCTCATGGAGTCACAAACGGGAATAAAGATTACAGAAATTGAACGTTTTTCGTAATCTTTGATCGGCACCTTCTCGAATTCCTTTCTTCGTTCCTTCCCTCATTCCGTGTGTTCCTTGCCGAACCCGTAATTCCCCGGTCCATTCCAGATTATAATCTTTGCAATCGGTGAAACTGTAATCTCTATTTCCGTTTGTGACACTGTGAAGGCCTAAAATACGGGAACCAATCAGAAATGGATTCACATTGGCTTGACTCTCAGTATGAAGGGACTCTAGATTCCTCTCTTTGGAACACGATCCGATTCGTCGCTGTCCCGTGGCCGTTGACCCCCACCCCGCTCGAGGGGATCGCTGATTCGTCGGCATGTTTCACCTTTGTAATTTAAATAACACCAAAAATAGAAGTTATTTTTCTCCGGAAATCGAAAGCCCTGTAATTACCGTCCGCGTGCGGGGGCGGGGGTCACAGGTGCGCGGCGCGGCGCCCCCGCAAAACGAGTCCCCGACGAGGGATTCGGAGATGTTAATCGTTAATGTCACCTGCCCTAATTGCGAGTCACGACTTATCGTCACCTCGTAATTTTCCCACCACCCCCGTCCACCCACGACCCGCGACCCGCTCTCGCTCTTATTACCAATCCCGGTAAGTATACCTCCGGAGCAATATTTTTAGCCGCGGTGACGTAATCAATACCGGTGACGGATGGCGGGGGTGTCCGCCACCGCTCACGTACGTTTTTCAATTTTCCCGTCATTCATCACCGAGTCAAAGGTCTTGCTGCCTTACCCTCTTTTCTGCCTTTCCGCCAGGTTCCTTCCTTGCTTTTATCCAAATTGCCCACCGCCAGAATGGATCACTAGACAAGGTACGAATGGAGAATTTGCAAGGGTCTGAAATTTGATGAATTTCCTGTTTAAGTGGAATCCTCTGAGTGAACTGAACACGAAGATACCCTTGATTCATAAATTGAGCAATTATTAGAGGAGATATGACAAAATAACCGATTCTGCTAAAATACATGTGTTTAAATGGGAAATGCCGCCAGATGACGTCACAAGGCGGCACATTTTCTCACTTTTAAATCAATTTTTCTCCAATTTCCCATGTCAGAAAAAAATTATGAAAAATATTGCGAACTCAGCTCATTAGGCACTTTCAGATGAAGCAATAAAAAAATTGCGTGCAAATTCTCCATGTAAGCATTCCGGTACATGTTTCTTAACCAAAATTTCACGTAGAACACGATTCGCGCAACGAAAATTACTGAAACCAACTCCTAACGAAGATATTAACCTTTTCATTTCACATTGGTTACGAGGAATTTGAACTGCCCGCTCACAAGAAACTCAAAGCTCTACGTGAGTCAAATCGCGCACGACAACGGTCTCAGCAAGTTTCTCAATCGAGCAATATTCATTTCCCACCATGTGTTGTTCGAACTATAGGCAATTTGCTATAGCTGAGCCAAAGCGTCAAGATTGAGGTTGCCAGATTTTTACATCGCGCAGAGACTGTCATGATAACGTTTAGCGCGCGATGTGAATCACGTAGAGCATTGAGTTTTCATGAGCGGGTGGTTTGAATTCACGCATCAAGAATCATTAAATATCGTTGTGAGGAGTTGATTTCGATAATTTTCATTGTGCGCATCGTGCTCTACGTGAAATTTTGGTTACGGAACATATATCAGAGTGCTGAAATTCGTACCTTGTCTAGTGGTCCATTCCTCCCGTCCTAAGGAGCAACGCCGTACTCTGCCATGCTAAGGAAGAACGCCGTACACTGGAAAAAAAAAAAAACACATTGGATCTAGAGTTCAGACTCTTAAAAACATCGACAAGAAAAAATACTCTTGATTCAATCAGATTTAAGCTTAAATCAAGAACCAAGCCACTTAATTTGAGCGGATTTCCTTTTGATTTAAGCTTAAATCTGATTGAATCACGAGTCCTTTTTCTTGTCGATGTTTTCAAGAGTCTCGACTCTAGATCCACTGTGTTTTTTTCCCCCAGTGTAAGAACCTTCACGCGTTGTCAAATTTCACTCGATAAAACACGAATTTCCTGGTGAACTTACGAATATATTTAGCTAATTATTTTCGCAATTTCACCTAATGCTCCTGAAAATTTCAAGAAAAAATATTCATAAATTTTCACAGGAATTAGTATTTTATCGAAGGAGATTTAGCAACTCTCGAATGTTTCTACGGCGCTCTTCCTTAGCACGGCAGTATTAGCATTCAACCCCTACCAAATTTACTTCTGATAAATTACAAATTTGCAGGTAAATCTGTGAATATTTTTCATTCAATTTTTCAGAGAATTTGATTCGTGATCAGCTCTATATTATTTGAAAATTTTAAGAGAACCCATTCATGACACTCCTTGAAAAAGGACATTTTATTGGAGGAAATTTGGCAACTCTTGAATGTTCATGCGGCGTTCATCCTTAGCACGACAGTACAGAACAAAGTAAGGTGAAGAGTTTCTATAAAAGCAGGAAAAACTCGAAAAGTCTAGTAATTTTACTCAACCGTGAAAATTCGTGATGTCTTACTGTAAAATTTTGATTTTACTGAACATCGGGCAGTGCAGTCTGGAATATTGTTCTGTAAATTCTTTTTTGTAGATTTGTGATAAAATACTCCGAGAATCATTTTTGTTGCGCTTTCAATCTGTAATTATTTTTCTTTCTTCTTTTTCCAGGGATCCAAGCGCACCTTACGTTCCAATGAATTAGTTTTAACACCGAACGGACTGTTAGACACGGAGCTACAGCTTAACTTTTCCTTGCAGGTGAGAGGAACGTTTTCTACTTCTGATACCAGCGTTTTTGCGCAGAAGTTACCGGATGAGAATTAGTGGATGTCAAGTGGCTTTCCAGTAAAAAAGAAGAAGAATAAAGCACAGAACATGTACAGATTAACAAGAAACACGGCAAAAGCACCGCGTTAAGCAGAAAGGAACCAAGCTTTATCAGCTATTGTCAAATTTAATCGGGCAATTTAATTTTTTTTATAAATACGGTTCCGCGGATTTTTGTGCAAATTCCAGTAAATTTTCTGCACAGTACGCAATTCCTTACAATTTTCAAAGGAGTCCGCACAAACGTCCTCTCGCAAAAAATCAAATTGCCCAGTTAAATTTGGCAGTAGCTGATGTGACTTGGTTCCTTTCTGCTAAACGCGGTCCAAAAGATCTCCCACGTGACTGGTCTTTTTTCTATTTTCTTTTTTTGAGCCTGTGTGGCAACGTAGCATGAATTTAAGCTCCTAATCCCATGGATAAAGCGTTTCTCGAGCACATTGTTCCAATGGAATTAATCAATCATCCTAATGTTTGTATACTTATAAAAACTGAAATGGTATTTGTGGTTGGTAATGAGAGTCCAAGTCCAATTTAAGGGGCTTGGAGGACAAGTAAGGCGCATGAGTGCAATTTTTGCTATTTAGAGAAGTACGTGTTCGAAGTTTCGAAATTACATGGATCCTCATGGCGGAAAGAAAGTTCTTACTGACTTTTTGATGCTTAAAAATTGGAATTTGGATGCGAAAGTTCACAGAATATGCATTAAGATTAGTTTTACTTAAAATCATCAATATCTCAGCGTTTTCAAAAGCTATACTTATGCGTCTTGTCCTCCAAACCCCTCAATTCTATTAGAACCTGCGTGCACATATGCCTAAAATTTTACTCCTCAGCCCCGTTTTTTTTCAAAATTAGCACATAGCATAGTCGATTTAGCTTATCATGCTGAGGAGGCAACGAAGAACATCACATAAAATCATAGCAAAATTTTGCCGGTATTGGATTCTTCTGTTTCTGCGCAGGGTTCTTCATGTTGATGAGTCAGTAAAAGTTACTTCATAGGTGAATGAAATATCTGTACCCAAAACATAAATTTATGTCGCTCTGGAGCCTCGGATAATTCGGAGATACAAGAATACCTGTGAATACAACCTTGAACAAGAAAGTATTCCCCCCATCAATGAAAAACATCTTTGAATTTGTAAGCACTTTTCGAAGTGGGATTTTTAAGCAGTGCAATCTGTGGACCTTTAATTCTTTCAGATGAGAACGGGGTGTTTTCTATGTCATAACAACTGAAATCATCAGTAGTATTTTTTTTGTGACTGGGAGTTGCTTCATTTTTTGTTTGTTTGTTTTTTGTCAACGATTAAATTGCTCCGTTTCTGTTGCAGTATCCACATTTTCTGAAGAGGGATGGCAATAAACTTCACATTATGCTTCAAAGACGAAAAAGATACAAGAATCGAACAATCCTAGGTTATAAAACTTTAGCAGAAGGCATCATAAACATGTCTTTGGTTAGTTAAACATATTCTTTATGAAATTATTATTGTTTAATGCAGTGGCGAGGCGTGAATGATCGATTTTCGATGTTTCTCCATCTAAAGTCATGGTAAGGAATCGATTATTAAGGTGCTTGCTGCAAACACCCTGTTTATCGATCCTTTTCATAAGTTTATATGGCAGATCAATCAATATATCGCAAAGCACGCCACGCCACTGGTTTAGTGTAAGTAAACTAAAACTATCAGAACTTGTAGTAAAAAAATACCAGGAGTTTGTTTTTCTTGTCTGCTGTGGAAATAATCAAGCTGTGACTGGAAGCCTCAACATTTATATTATTCTCTAGTTTTTCAGGGAAAAGACTTCCAGATATTCAATCTCTTTGGTCCTATTTAGATTTTTTTTACAACCTATTGTTACTTAACTCACGTTCGTTCTCTAAAAAAATAATACTTGACCCGAAATCTGTGACATCTTTTTTTCCCAGTTTTACATTGTTGTAAAAGTGTGTTCCCTTACTATAACTTGAAATTAGTACAGGAATCTCTGATCATTCAAATATTTTGCTTCTAAGATACTTATTTTTGAAGATGCCAAGAAAAAGTTCCGAGTGAGATGTCATTTCATTTCTTCATGCCCTTTCAAGAATATGCTTTGAAAATTATTTTAAAAAGATCGAGAAATATATTCTTGCCCAAATAAAATAAAATAAATTATTTTTAAACCTCTTATTGTTTGTGGTTTTCTAATTTCACCTCAGATATGTATCAAATGCAAGTGATGCAAATCATTGCATTTTCATCAATTTTTCATAATTTCTGACACATTACTCCTTTACAATGGCAGAAAGCCTCTCAGTAACTTAATCAACATTTTCTTCTAATGTTTGCTTCCTAAAATTCGCATTGCTTCCTAAAACTCCCGAATAAAGTTCAATAATCATGTACTTACAATTTTCATTTTCTTTACATTTTTGATTTGTAACCTTTCTTTTTATTATATTACAGGTCTTACAGAGGCAAATAGATCTAGATCTAGATTTACTCAGTGATAGTAAGGTAAACAATGTCATTGCTCGAGTTACTGTCAATTCCTTAAATAGTCAACCAGTGGATCATGACATCAAACAAGCAGGTTTGTCGCAAGCTAAGCAGTGTCTATCAATTGATTTTATAGTGCAGCAGCATGTTAGAAATGATATGTGATACATGCATAGCAGAGAGTATCACTAACTTTTTGTCTAGGAGGACTAATTTTTAATAAGTTCATCTACATAGATGTGTAGCCTTGTTCCCCACTAAATTCTACCGTTCTTTCTTTTTATATATGTGCCAGACTATCACAGCATATTCACATCCGTGCACTGATTTATAGATGTATATATACTAGTATTGCAGTCGCCGCCTCCTATAAAAATTCTGTAATATCCTAGATCAAGTCCTGAGGAAATTACGTCCCAAGAATGGGAATGGGACATCCCAAACGCAGAGTGTAAGCGAATACTTTGTGTATATGTATGTGGATGTTTCTCAATGAAAGTTTTCAAGAGACACATATTTTACCTGCAAATTTTCAGTGTTGTCCCTAGAAAAGTTCATACCTCCAGGAACGAGAGTGAAGAGTGGTATTTTGTGCATATCTCTTTTGGCGTTTCATTTTCTCTTTTCTTTTTTTTTATTATTTTTTTAAATATGTTCATTGAAACATAAATCTCCAAATACACATCTGACTGATTTTTATGTTTGTTATGGGTTTCTTGAACTACTCAGTTAAGAAGTTACCGTGTCCCATTTTTTTGTATTATTAGCCGTGAAAAGCAATCATAAAATTCTGAAGTCAAGGTCCTAGAGTCTAAGAGCCGGAAAAAAGCTGATTGAGAACAGTTACCTGGTCTCTCTTTTTCGTTATCCAACTCAAAATGCTATGAGTCCAATCACCCATAATTTTTTGTTTGTTTTATCGCAGATCGAACTGGTGAATTTTCTGATGAAGATGAAGAGCTCAGCAGTAACGAAGAAGGCTCTGATTCTGAGCCAGCTATTGAAGATAGGCGTCCTCGAAAGCCAAAAATTCCAGTCAATGCAAGAGTAAGTTGTCACATGATCATATCGTGTCGGAGGTTCATGAAGAAGTCAGGAGAGATTTTTTGTTATCACTCTTTTAAGAGCTCCTTTTCGAAAAAGGCTCAAGTTTTTCAAATTTTAATCAATGCAAGTTTAAGAAAACCTCAAACAAGGCAAAAAATATCGCTCTTAGGAATTTTGATAATTAATCAAAATTCGATGGAGTATTTTAGGGGTGAATCCTTTATATTGTAATAGTTTGCTACCACTGAGAAGACTATCAAGAGGAGGAGGAGGAGGAGGAGGAGGAGGAGGAGGAAATTTCATAATTAAACAAATTTCAAATTAGATACAAACTTATCATTAAAATGAAAGATTAGTTATGGCTGTCATTTATGAAAGTACAGTTTTTTAAACCGTAAAAAGAAAAAACCACCTCATTCGTATAGAAAAAATACATACTTAAAAAATTAATGGTTGAACCCTTATTGAAATACTGCATTCTTATCATAAAATTTGCCATAATTTTGCATGTGTATTATCCCACCTAGTAACTCCCAAAAATTTTGTCATGAACTCGTCGTATAAACATTATCGCAAGTCCAATTTTGGCAGTAATGCTGTGACAACATTTTCACAACCACTTTTTGCCAGGCGGGATTTTTTCATACGGTGGTATTCAATTAGAAGTGTAGCTATGGATCTGCATGAGTGATTTTCAGTGGAAACTGAATTTTTAGATTTTTTGAAACAGTATAAAAAGAAATCAAGCAATTTTACCATCTAAACTTTTGGAGCCATTGTAGTCATATTGCGTCCTATTTGAGTATTTAAACACTAATATTATGGTATTTTGCTTTTTTAGCAACGAAATTTGAAGCAAAAATTCATATCGTTGCTCAAAAGATTCAGAGTCAACGAAGATTTACAAGCTCTAGAGGCAGGAAGAGAAACCATAAGTCATAAGTTATCAGGGGGGGACATGGACCCTGCAGATATCGAGGATCTTTTTGAAGAGTTAGAGGATCTGTCAGACAGCGGCCCAGAAGTTGATACTATGAGTATAACCTCAACCCCAAAACCATCTCTGAGACCTTTCTTCTCAAGTAGTCGCTCGCTGTTCCAAGGTAAGTTTTTTTCATGATCCACCCTTCCGACTATTTCATGCCTCAAGTATAGTGCCCAGAAAATCTGTTTCAATATTTTTCAATAAGTTTATTTTTGTCACGGACTCAGTTTTTTATTTTTTCTCTCTACAATAGTTGACCCTCAGGTCGTTTGTTAAAAAAAGATTCTTTTCTTGTTATCCACTTTGATGTAATTTGTCTTTATTCCCACTGAGTCCTCGGGTATAATGTATATTTTTTTGAGTGAAACTCAAGGCGGATAATCCCCTCAGAAATTTTTCTTCTCCTCTTTTTCAAAATAGTGTAATCTGGATGCTAACCAAGAAATTTATTTGAAGCCCAAAATTAATTAAAGTAGTTTATGCAAGGGCTTTAATTGGGAGGGAAACTTTTTTCCAAGGATCTCTTTTAACCAACAGAGCTCAGTTCTTTGAAGTTCAAGGTAGGTAGCTTTATTTCCTAGATAATATAAATAATTATATTGTGTATTTTTCCATCCTCAAGAAAAATCCCCTGGTTTTAATTAACTCATATATACTGTTTTGAATTTTGCTTTTTTTCATGCATTTAAAATGTACGTATGATGCTTTACACTCACCTTCATGATTTGCGCTGTAATTACTCAGTTGCTTACAGCTTTCAACCCCTAATTGTCAAGACGTAATCAATGCAAGAGAGATTTTTCTGTTTTGACAGGCGTAAAAAATAATTATTAATGTGAGAGTAGTTTAGAGCTAATGCTGTATTTTACTAATGAGTAGGTTTCATTCCTTCTAGTTGTCAAGAATACAATTTTTCATCAGTTTTTCTTCTTTTTTGTATTGACTGAGTTTGATTAAGCCCAATTTTGTTGTTTTCAGTAATGCATTTGTCTTTGATATGTAGTATACATTTTTAATTTAGCTAACTTGATTTCTTAGAGTCATTCATGACATGGTGCACTTTCATCTTTTTCAGTCGTATTTTAATTATTATTTTTTGCTAATTTTTAAGCTGCAACCATAAAAAAAGAGGCAGAGGTGGCTCAATTGTCTTAGATACTCACTCCCTCCCTCTTTTTTTTTGCTTCTGCACGAACTAATACATTGAAAAATGATTAAACTGCAATAAATTGAGTATTTAGCGGTTTCCTTTATTTTTCAATAAAATGCTTTGAAGTTTGCTCTGTGATTTTCCATAGCTTTTTTTATTGATTGAAGTGCTGTTGAAAAGATGAAAGGCATCATTTGTGAATTATTAATTTGAATGAGAACAGAGTTTTGATAAACTTTTTTATAACGTATGTGTTTGCTTGTGTGTGCTCGTTTTAGGCCGATATCATCCGAAAAATTGCCACGCTTCAAAAGCTTCCTATAGCAATGCTTCGCATCAGACCAACTCAGGTTAGCATTTATAACTGTAATCACAGTTACAACAGCTACATTCACTCATTAGAATACAGTTATAACAGTTTAAATGATACCAGCTGTTAATCAAAAACCTTACTATTCATGTTTGAAATGTCATAATTATTTGTAAAACTTTTCAATCTTTCTGTTCCATAATTTGTTTTTGTCAGTGTCCTTCAGTACATTGGTCACATTTGACTGATTTATGGAAGAAAATGTCCTCCACAACCCTTGAATTTCTCATGGGACATTATGCCCTATGGATAACCTCCTAGAGATCTAATCGATGATGAGCTGAGCAAATTTAGACAAATTGATTTGCCCCTTAATTAAACACTCTCAATATTCTGCTATCATAAAAATCATGTCTTATTTGGAATTGCAGTAGACTAATATCATTTTAAATGATGCTGTAACCTATCAAATTGAACAAAATGAAAATGTATATGTTCCCATTTTAATTGGATAAAATCCTGATTAAATATTCTTGCGTGTTCAAAATGCTTTATGTTTTTGAACATCTATGGATAGCAGCGATGTCTGAATGTCGGTCGTAAATTAATCCGCTGATTTTTCAATGAAAGGAAAATTCATTTTGACATTATTTTTCTGTGTTTTCAATCTTCATGTTTCAACATCCAAATGTTATAGCTTCCCCTGAATACGTTGATAAGCGGTCATTTTAGATTTAGAGCTCGAAATTTAATTTCTGAATATGCAGGATATTTTTTTCAGTTTTGGAGGAAGTCAGTCTTAATAATTTTTCGTGTTTTTACTGACTTCTTAAAGAGGTGTGCAATATTGGTCCAGCCTTTTCAGCAAAAAACATGTGCACTGCCTTACTAATCAACTGAAATTTTGTAATTATGTATTCATACCCCTATTTAATGTTTTTGCCAGCAAAATTTCTACGTATTAAAATTGTTTGGTAGCTAACTTCTTTGCTGATTGCTCGACTCATTTTTCACCACCTTATTGTTTATTATTGAAAATTTCTGCACTTTAAACAAAAAAAAAAATTTCTATCAATTTAAGAGATTATGTAAGTATGCAGTCTTTTGATCAATCAGATTGGTCCGAAAATATTAGATCCTATTCTCACTTATAAATCTCTATTCATTAATGGAAATTTTCTTTTGAAGTGTTTTTTTCTCTCTCTCTCTCTCTCTCTCTCTCTCTCTATCCGTTTTGTGCATCAGAAACTTCTTACGGTTGACAGGAATTCATTTAGAATTGGGTCCCATGGTTGCTCAATGTTCCATCCTATTACGTTATTAACTCATGGTAAATGCATTTCCGTAGGTTTTGTGCGGCCTTCGAGTATGATTCCCTGCAATTTCAATTTTTTTTTTTCTTTTCATTCCTATGAACAAAATTCCTTTGAAAACATTAAGTTTAGGAACTCCCAACACTATTTTCCCCCTGCACACACATGAGTTGGTGAGAGTTGTTGTTCAGGAAGCAAATCTTAGTCGTTTTTCGGTTTATCTTGACTAGCAACTGTGACTCAGTATACATATCTCCCTAAATTATACATCATTGCAGTTTTCATTTTTTAATTACAAGTACTGAGTTATTCACACATCAAGCATGTAATTTTTCCCCTAGGTATAATGTCCTTTTACTCTCCCTCAATTTTTTTTGGTATTCATTTTATCAAGAATGATGTAAATTCTCCATATTCGTACACATTTCACTCATATTTCGCTTTGCCCCACCTGCCTGTTTCCTTTTAGCCAATTTTCATGGATTCCTGAGAATATCATTCGTACGCATGAAATATTTTGTATTATTGTTTTTGTGGTCCAAAAATGAGTCTCTCATTGAAACTTGGAGACCAACTTTAAAGTTCCATTGCAAGGCAAATAACTTTAAAAAATCTCGAAGTAATCTATGTTGATCTAAAGAGTTCCCTTCAATAATAGGTTATGTGATTTAAGGTAAGATGTGTGGGTACATTAGTTAGTAAATTTGAATGTTTCGATTTTCGTGCTTTTTTCTCCTTGGAGTGCTTTTTATTTGAAATAGAATTTCAATTTATCAATTCGTATAAATGCTTGGTACATTTTGGTCCATTGTCTTTTACAGGTAGACATTTTACAACATTTTTAAGGTGAATAATTTATATTTTCTCACTTGGGCTCCGAAAATAATTTTCTAAAACCATCTTTGGTGTTGTAAGATATGATTATCATTCGATCTTTTTTACAGAAAAAGGAGGAGAGAGGCTAAGTGACGAAAGCTCAAAAAAGGCTGATTCAGACTCACATCCAGAAAATTGGACTGATAGTGACCCACCACCTCCCTCAACATCGTCACCGCTAGCATCTGATGAGAAGAAGGTTTGATTCTTTTCCCTAGCTGATGTTTCCTTTTCTTCTCGATAGCAATCTACAGTTTGCTGTTTTTTTAATCTCCGATTCTAATTTCTGGCTTCGTTTTACCTTCAAAAAAGTGTGAACCTAGTACCATTCTCATATCCTAATTTAAATTGAGTATCTGTGGCACAATTTGATGGGATTTTTTTCCTCTCTCGTAGCAATTTACTTTTGAAGAAGTTTTATCACCACTAGACTTGTTCAAGAATGAAACTAAACTGGAGCAAAACTCTAAATCTAACGTTTTGCTTTATTTATTTATTTATTTATTTATTTATTTATTTGTTAATTTATTTATTTTGTTTTGTTTTTTGTTCTTGTATTAACCTATCCTAACTTGAGGAATATTTCACTCATTGCGCCGAACACAGTGCGGTCGCTGTTTCGCGGGAAAAGTATATTAGCGCCTACAAGAGTGGCGGAATACTTCACGCATTGCGCCAAACACAGTGCTGTCGTTGGTCGACGCGAAAAGTATATCAGCGCCTACAAAAGTGCCGGAATACTTCACGCATTGCGCCAAACACAGTGCAGATACTTTTTTTACAATTTGCAACTTGATTTTCTTAGAAGAATGAGAACAAAGAGTCTGAATATCCAACTTGGTACATTTTTCGCGTCATTTCAAAATATGCGGTTTAAGGCAGCTATGATGACTTCTCGTTTGATTTTAATAGGAGTAAATTTAATGTGCAAGGAATCTTGCTACGAATTTTGGCTTTTGAATGCTCTAAAACCATTGACAATTAATGGAGCCAGTACATAGAAGTGAAACGATTGAAAACTTTATTTTAATATTTTTTTCAGGAGATCAATGAGAAAAAGACTCGACTCTTCACACGAGAGAAAAATGCATCAAGTGGAAAAGGAAAAAAACAATCCATCAGTGATAAAGTCGATGTTAAAAATATGAACAACAACTGTGTCGTTGATATGACTTCCAATAATTTAGAGGTAAGTTCTAACACTATTTCAAAGTAAGCCACAAGTTTTCTCTTGTTCAAAATTATTTTGAAATCAGCAGAATCAAAATGCTACTTCAAAAATTACAAAGAGTTTTTCGTCTCAAGATTCCAAGCTGAGTGAAAAAGTTCCAGTTATGCCACTGAGCTCCCTTTCATGGTAATAATCAGAACAATATTCAATTTACCCTGAAACTAAACCTGTCAGTTGCTTCCTTGAATTGTGGAAATGTTATGAATAGATTTTTCTCTTCGATGGAGGCGTGTATTACATTACTGAAGATTGCACTTATGCACTGATGCTTTCACCATACATGGAAGCACAGTGGAATATGGATTTTTTTTACTGTCAAGGTAAACATTACTGGAGTAAGGGAGGTAGATTTACCTCTTTCTCTTGGCACCCTCTCCCAAAAAATCCTCCCCTCCCCCCAATCCCCCAAAAAACTTATACTGTTGACGTATAAATTGAGAGACTTAAAGCGTCTATTCCAATAAATTGTAGGGTCCGTTACATCCCAAAATTAATTTGACTTAATTAGAGATTATCTCATTCTACCAAAATTACTACTCTCATGTGCTACTGCTTTGTATATTTCACTGCAGTGATGTAGAACCACCAAATACACAATTTTCCTCAACTCTGTTGCAGATGAGAAAAGGTTTATTAGAACAGCTTGGTCGGATTCTTGGTCCTGAAGACTGGTTACCCGAATCAGTGGTTTTAGTAAACGGAGCTGATGCTTATGGTTGTGTTCTCACTCAAAAACTAGTCAGTAGCTCTCTTAGAGTCATTACAACTTCCAATGCTGCGGATATTAAAGCTGCTGTGATTGCCCTTGTCAATAAAATACAAAAATGGTAAGTATTGTTAAATATTTATTGATATATTTTGGCATTTTTCTTGGCAAAATAAAATTGTGCTTGATATTGAACCATCAATACCTAACCTAACCATCTCTATTCAACAAACGAAAATCTTGCTTTGATTTAACCTTTAGTGAACCTACTCATGCAAAGAAAGTAACGGAAAATCCTTGTATAATATTGTTGAATTATTCATAATTAATCAAACACGCTGTTGTCCAATCAAACTTAAACCACATCGATGCAATTCTTCCTACACTTTCTCTACTTAGTGTTTTGATCATTATTTTTAGCCAGCCACAAAATATGCAAGAATTTCGGTAAAACACCAAGACTAAAAATGTGTATTTCATTAGAGATTGCAATAGGGGTGCATAGTCTGATGGGTAGGAGAGATAAATGTTAGAGGGAGGAAAATAATATCATCAAATCTTACCGTATAGCCAGCTGTGAAGTAAATTTTAACCAACCTTCAAAAAACTTTTTTGTTACCATACATGTTTTTGCTTTGTGCACTTTGCTCATAAAATTATATGGTTGGTTGGTTCATTACAGAACACATTTAATCCCAGATTTATTTTATTTATGTTTATCCATTTTTTTCGTAGAGTTTAAATGATTATTTTTTATTTCTTTTCCAGTTGTATCACAAGTCCGAAGCCTCTGAGTGTCATTAAATTAATACTTGCCGGATCAGATGGATTTGTCAATTTAGTTTTACGGAACTATGTCGAACAGTTTTCTTATAAACCTGTCGACTGGCAAAACTATATCAGATTTTTAGTCATTCCTTTAGGTGAGTATGTTTCAGTAATCTATCAGTAAAGCTGTTGCAAACTCCCACCAGACTCAACCTTTCTGGTATAGAAGCTGCTGTTTGAGTTTTGTAATAATTTAGCAAATATCAAGTCACACCGATTGACTTTTTGGGAATCTAGAAAAATTTTCCAGTAAGGAGGAGAATTATCTCACCCTCTATGTAACATTAATGCGTATCAGTGGGGTTTTGGGTAATTCATTTTAAGTATTAAATGGGAACCAAGACCCCGGTGTTTATATCATGAAAATAGAGTGTGATTTTCAGAAATGAGGGGCTTAAAGGACAAGGCGCATAAGCAGATTGAAAGTTCAATCTGACTATTTGTTGCCTAAAAAGTGGAATTTGGGAGCGAATTCTTCACAGAATGTGCATTAAGACCAGTTTTACCTAAAATCATTAGTATCTAAATTATTTCAAAAACTGCACTTATACGCCTTGTCCTCCAAGCCCCTCAAATACTTAATTGGTAACTTACATAAGCTGAAGGAAAAAAAATAAATGCCAGAGGGAAATGACTAAAAGCAAGTGTTCAAAATTTTTGGAAAACCTCATCATAGCAAAACAGTGCCGAAGCTGGAAAGTTTTAAGGGAGATAATTTTCTTTCGACTTAGATCAGAATTTAGGTTATTCAACAAAGTTTATGTATATGTATTAGGCAAGAATTCTGGTGAGCTCGCTGAATATTTCTTGTCTTGAAATCTCCTTTGGTGCTGCTGTGTTCATCAAATTTCCCAAAGTTTATGGAAGTTTCAAGAAATGTATTAAAATTTTGGCCTGAAAGAGAAATTTTAAATAATCATTCTTTCAACTTATTTTCCAAATTTCAGTGCTATGAAAACGCATTTTAATCAAAAGGAACTGTATCCAATAGCCTGTGTCACACTGTCAAAACTAGCCATCAAAATATCAAGGTCAAGTGTTGTGATTGGCTTATTCGATGACTTGGACCAATCACAGCACTTGACCTTGACATTCTGTTGGAGTATTTTGATAGTGTGACACAGGCTATTCTAGCATAAGCCATGAGATCCTTTAGAATACATGTATGACAGGGATCATGCCTTGATGAATGTGGTTCCTTTTGATTTAAATGCGTTCATAAATGTTAAGAAACTGAAAAAACTCTAGAATGATTGAATTATCTTTAATCCTAATTTCGATTATGTTTTTTTTTTTCAGGCACTAATTTCCTCAGTAGGTATCTAAGTAGCGTAGACTCTCTTTATGGCGCCTTATTCGTAAATGAAAGCTGGAAGGAGGCTTTAGAGCAAAATGATGCAACCGAACTAATCAGTAGGATCTCTCAGTATTTGAACGCAGCTCACACAGTTCAATTTCCAATAGCAGAAGCCATGATCACATACAAAGAAAAGAGGTGAAGTGTGATTCTGATTTCTTTATTTCACATCTGAATTCCGTTGTAGATTAGGCTTGCATACTTTTGCAGACATTTTATAAAATTATTCAAAAACAATTTTTTCGATAAAAATTCCCAATTTTGTCTCTAAAATTATTGTTTAGTTGATCTGATTTAGTTGCAAAAAATTGCATCGATTTGGTAAATGTTTTAAGCTAGCCATCATCATAGAATTTCTAGATTGAATCTCTCTCTTAACGAGACTTTTTACATCAAGTTCTCACTAATTTGGTTGGAAAAATCTTAAATTGTGAAACAGAAGCTCAGTCTCTAAAGTCAATGAAAAAAGCTGTTGTAGACTTAGTGGAAGAAAACTTCAACTGTCGATTCATTCTTAGCTCTTCATGAGTAGTCGCAGTGCCATTATTTTATTGCTTGCTTCACATTTTGTTTTATCGTATTATCTCATCTCCCGGCGATCATGCCGGCGATCTGCCGGCATTTCGAGACGGGACCGTGTCCGTAATAAGAGAATTCGCCAGGTGATGAAGGTTGAGAAAGATATCGTGCACGACGTCATGTCCAGGCAGTTATGCTGGTATGGACATGTGCAAAGAATGTTGGAGGAGAGGTTGCCCAAACAAGTTTTGGATTGGGCACCACCTGGGAAGAGGCGACGGGGATGTCCCGTAAAGGGTTGGCGGCAGGGCGTTGACGAAGAGATGTTGCGGTGTCAGTTGCCCGAGAACCTCTGGGAAGACAGGCATATGTGGCGTTTGGGTGTCGTAGAACGCCAAAGTGCGTTGTAAAGCGACTTTATATATATGTATATATCTCATCTCCCTATCCTCCTCCCCCAATTTTAAACTCATTCACTTCCAGAACTTGCCTTGGATACATTAGCAGTTTTTTACTTTTGAGTGGCACGCATTAACTGATCGATAAATCTCTGCATTGTTCTTTTATTTGGTCTATAATAGTAACCGAAAAATTCATCTGCTTGTTTTACAGCTCTGATGAGGAATCAAGTCAGATATTCATCCCTTTCATTAATGTAAGTCATTTTAAATTTTTGCTTTTGATAACCTTTCCTGCCTGATCAGTTCAAATCAAAATCATGTTAGAAACTTTAGAACTACTTAATTTTGCTCATTTCAGAAACACTTGTCAAACGAATTCCACTATTGGATTAAGTGTCTATTTGATCAACTAGTTGTACATTTTCTCCTCTCAAAAATTCAAAATGAAAAAAAAAAATTGTTGAATAACAAACTGTGGGTTTAACTGTATCTTTAATCTTTAGGTCTTAAGGAGGAGTAAAATTTCAGACCTTCTTTTCTTGGCTCCAACTTTAAATGGTTTTGAACAGTTTTATCTCTTTTGGCAATTGATATATTCACTGTTCTCCACAATCCAAAACCTGTTTGTTGCATTCATATCTTTTGTCCTGTATGATTCGTGACATCTCATCTGTAGACTTTGCTCATATAAGTTGTAAGTAAAAATTCCACCCTTCAATCAATCGAAAAACCATTTTTCATTTGTATGCTAGAGTATACAGTTTACATCTAAACTTGTTCCATCAGCAATGGACCTGTTGCAAACTTCAGCTGTAGCAAAAGAAAGAGTTATTTCTTTTAGAAAATGGTTCAAAAATCATGATGAGTGGCAACGTCTGAAATACATTCCTGACTTCACAATCTGTGTAAGAAATATGCATTTTTTAAGCTTCCAGCTTCAAAAACAATTCTACAGCACAGGTGAAAATTTTGCACTAAGAGTTGTTCCATCCGACCCTTGCCGGCTAGGAAGTTACACAATATTTAACGTGGCCAACACCAAACTGCCAAAACACACGAGATGAGACGGGATTTTATCAACCAGTTTGCTTATATTTACATTTTCTTTGTGTTGATTAAGACCCTGGTGCCTTCTCACGATTTGCGTGCAGAAGCGTCAGCCATGTTAAAATTTGTATAGCATCCTAGTGCGCAAAGGTTTGATTGAATAATTTCTTTTACAAAATGTTCACCTATACTGTAGTATCGCTTTAAAAGTTGGAAACTTAAAAAGGCGCATATTTCTTACCTAGATGGTGAAGTTAGGAGTGTATTTCAGACTATCCCGATGGGCTCATCGTAATTTTTGAGCTGTTTTCTATAATTAACTACTCTTCTCAGTGCTCTAACTGAAATATGCAACAGGCCCATTAGGATCAATTTAGTTCTGTCTTTTAAGTTTTAAAAGCAATCATTAAGGTGAATAGGTTTATCGTAATATATGTCTACTAACTGACACCATGTTTATGTTCTTGAACTCAGGATGTTCGCGTCGGTTCATCTGAAGTTGTCCTAGAAATTGAAGATGGAGGCAATTCCCCACCACGAACTCCACCTTCATCTCCAAATATGAGCACCAATTTCCAGCAAAGGTAAAATTAGTGAATAAGGTTTCACTTGATAATTTATTTTCTAATTTTTTTTTTATGTCAATGGTTGATCAGTGAACAGTACATTGTGCGTCATATCTTCAATAATAGATACACTGTATAATGCAGATAGTATCTGGTTTCAATGTGCAAGATATCTCTTTATTTTGGTTTCTTAATGATGCCTCCATTCTGTTCCCGTAAAAAAGTAATATTGTGTGATCAATCCATCTATATTTTAATTTCAGAGAAAACTTTGAGCCAGTAGAACTCCAGGTTGACTTTTGGTCAAGTTCCAGTAACTCTACCAAAAATTCAGACTGTAAGCCAGACAATAAGAAAAACGATCAAGTTAAATCTACTCTCAAAACTTCTTTCAAACACCTCCAAGTTTCGCGGTTACCTGCTCCTGGAGATACACCTTCATTCAACTTTACACTATCGTATTCAACCAAGGAGAAAAAGCAGAAAAGTAAGCATCCTATTTGATTCTAACCGTTTTGTTTCACAAATTTCCAACGTTTTTCTTCTATTTTTTTCTAAATTATGTAGGATTGACTGGACTAAGAATTGAAAGTTTCGATTAAAATTTCAAAGATAGTTAGTTATTTTTCCAGTATAAAATTTATCACGAACACCATCTAATTAAGACACAAATCAATCATGTGCTCAATAACATCAGCCAGAGCGTTCTATGAAAATTTGAATTCTTCTCAAGGTAAATATATTGTCAGAACACCATGCAATAATCTGCTTTTTATCGGAGATACAGACGTACAACTACTAATACTACTTTTGCAATTTCCTTACTTACAGTTATGCGCCTTGGAAAGAAAAAAGAAAAGGAAAAAGAAAATGAAATTCGCAGTGTAGCAGTTGATGGAATTACTAGGCTCATTTGTTCTCCAAAAACACAACATGCCCCATTAAAAGGTTAGTATGTGTCTAACAATGTTAAGCGACTGTCTTTATTTAAAAAAATATATGTAAATTTTATCATTCAATGTAATTATTATGTTATTCTCTTATCCTCAATCTGTCTTTGTCAAGTAGTAATTCAATTAAAAGGAAAAGAAAGCCCCTCTTGCAAAAAAGTGTCCTCCCTCGTTTGAGTTTGTCTAATATTTTGTCCCTTGATTTGCTACCCACAGGGTTGCCACAGTTGGGGAATTTTAAGAAACCAGGGCAAAATCTGGAAATGTAAGAGAAAATGACCAGGGTGTCAGGAAAAAATTGTTCACTCACCTTCATTCGCTTCCTAGAACGGGTTTCACGCTTTAAACAAAAAAAAAATTTAATTTGTCCAATTTTTCACAAACTATTTCAAATAATGTCTTTTTAATCATATGGCATAACCTCCAATGTCAGAAAACTTTACCAAAATGTGTTTGGGAAATGTCACAGAATTTCTTTTTCTAAGTAACGTGGTAACACTTCAACTTAAACATATTTAGGCCCTTTTTTCCTCGACTTTGTTGACCTTCCAAAAAGTCAGTACATATTTGAATAACGTATATGTATGTAATATGTGTGTATTTTAATTTTTCCTAGCCACTCAACGCCACTAATCTGTTTTATTGATGTTTCTAGTCATTATAGATGGTGCTGATTGGTCAGGAGTCAAATTCTTCCAGCTGTCTTCGCAGTGGCAAACACACATAAGACATTTTCCAGTCCTGCTCTTTTCGGAGATCACTTAAGTAAGTCGACAGTTCTAAATACTGGTAACAGATTCCAGGTGCTTCAGAATTTTCAAGTAAATGCTTGTCAACAATTTTTGTTTATCGGGTTTCTAATAGAAGTGTGCTATCAGAGTTTTTAAAGTTATTTCAAAGATTTTCTTTTTCTTTTCAGAATCAGTTTTGTTAGCCGGCTGCCAGGTATGCCAAACAAAACTTGTGTGAAAAAGATAAGGAAAACTCTGATCAGATTTTACTCTTTGGGATAGCACACTCTTTCTTTCGAGTTGGATATTGTAATTATTACCTGAGGTTCTTCCTCTATATACGTCTCGAAAGTTCAATATAAGCCCAAATTAAAGGGTATTACAATCACCGAAAAATATTCCAATGAGTTTTCAGTTTTTTTGAGTATTTTCAAAATGTTCTTGGAAGACTGGTGTCGCACTGGTAAAATTTGTGTGGCAATAAATAGCTTTCAAGGGGGAAAGGCTGAAGGAGACGTTGCATCTTCCCTAAGTGCAGGTATTTTATTATTATAATGAGACTTGAAAAATCTATGGTGAAAGGAACATGAATATATTGGCACAGAATTTAAGGCTAAAACAACAGAATCATACTTGAACCATAACTTGAAAACTTTCAATGGTCCAGACTGAAAAATACATATACAGAAAACTTTCGTTAAAAGTATTTGGTTGATTTTATACATGTCCTCAACCTCAACTACATTTTATGCAGAGCTATGAAAGAGGTGTCAGAGGAGAAATCTCATGGTGTTCGCGTAGTTCTTAGTTTAACTCTCAGTCTCTTAGTTATGGAGATCACACTCCATTGAGAAATTCAATGGCAAAGTATGTTGTGGTAAATTTTCAATTGATTTTCAAGTCTGCATTTTCTTTTGTTCTCTTAAATTTTGTAATTTTCAATGGTTTTGTGTTAATTCAATTTTTTCAAAACCTTTCTTCTTCCAGGATCTTCAATTCTAGTCATCATCAAAGGAGCCATTAGAAGAAGATTTTTTCTCCAAGGGCTGGCAGTATTATTACCAATTTTGTCTCTCCTAGCTTGTTTTTTTCTTTCATTTTTCAATGTTCGACATGTGTCCCAAATATTCCAGTAGTTTATGGCCTGTAAATTATTAATATGTATCATGCTGTCTTTGGGTCAGTGTACCTTCTTTTCTCTCTCGTTTTCATTATTACCTATAGTTTTTTAGTATTTTCTACCAATTGTGATTTTGGCAAATATTATTTTTTTATTTTCTCTTTGAAATTTATGTATCAATAGATGATTTAATGATGTGACCTCTCAAATTTTAATTTTGCAAGTCTGAATTTTGATATTCACTACGCTAGGGGTTTTTATATTTTGTGTACACTCAGCTGAGCCTGTGACAGAAAGTAATCTCATTTCTCAGTTTCTCATTTCAAAGGCTTTTCTTCCTCTAGAAACGAACCAACTTTGCAGACAGAAAAATTATATTCCCGCCTAAGATACATTTCTTCCAAGCTCACTTCCAGTCTCACTAGTGTAAATGAAGTTCCTTTTATTTTAACCCTGTTAAACTAGATAATTCAACAGCCTGGTAATCCAGTCTTGCGCTTTGTACACTACTTATTCGGAATATCTATGCGTTCTTCTCTCCTCCTTTCTTATTTTTAGTACAGTCCTCTCTCGATAATTTGAATCTCTAAAATTTTTGAAAAAAGGAAGGAATAAAAAGCATTTTACTCCTCAAAATTTTCAAATACTAAACACAGTTTAGCCCCTTTACGATTTAAAATTAAGGGGAAAGTTTCCTCTTTAGTTGAAATTACCAGGAGTGAATGGGACTGTATCTCTACTATTGAAAATTAGGCAACTCATCCACTTTGCAATTCAATGTCGGTTGATTTGACCTGTATATGTTTTTAAGTTACAAGGCCCAATCTGCCTAAAAAACGTTTGATTAGATGATGAGTTTTTAGTGTCTCATGCTTTTTTGCAGTTTTGCATACATTTTAACAACAAGGAAGCACAATTTTCTCAATTCTAGGAAGGAGCGCAAAGTCATTGAAGTGTTTTTTGGGAATCAGCTATCAGAGCTTCACAAATTTTTACAATTTATCACTTCAAATTTTTCAAAAATAATTTTTTCTTAAAAATTATGATAATTAATCAATGAAATTTCTCAGCGCTCATCTCCTTATCCACAGCTTTACGTTCATTGGATCGCCCTCCGTAATTCAACATATTTCAGCCAAACTTTATCATATACCTAATTAAAATTCCAAAAATCCAAACCGTTTCCTGAAGTTTGGAATTATCAAGAGAGGAATAATTTCTATATTGTACCCCAAGTTTTTCTGTGAAGAGAGCCATGCAACTGACCATAAGGGAATTAGTAATTATGTATTTTTGAAGTTAAATTTTAATGTAAACATTTTGGTTGAGAACTTTTCAAAAAATGAAGAAAATTCATCAGTCATGGGTATGTAATATTGAATGCTCAAGAGTTTAAGGTCGATGTAAAGTTGTGTGGAAAGTATGTGTTTTACCTTTTTTTGGTGATGAAGCTAAGCATATCATTGATGAGAAAAGACTTGTTAAAGGTAAACAGTTCCAATAATTTTTCTCATTTTATTTAAAGTAGTATCCAGCAAAAATGCTTCCTACCTTATTTCTGAATCAGTTGCTTCTATTCAATACTGTACCATTTCAAAAATTTTACATTTGACCATTTATCATGAAACATCAATTTTTAATCTAATTAAAAACTATGGCTGACTTTAAAGGATGTTTAAAAAAGTAACAGTAATTTTGCAATATTTTTTTAATGAATTACAATGAAGCAAACAATAAAATGTCATGGCACTTGAACGCAGACGCAACAAAAGTAAATCAGATTATGTGCGTATGTCTTACTCTTTTAACTAACTCTTGCCTGGGGAAAAAATCTTAAAAATCATGTGGAAAGAATCAATTCCAATGGAAACTTGCGCCTACTGGGTTTATGCTCACAAGCTGTTTACGATAAAACAAGGTCATCCTTTATCAATATTCTGTATATCCTCAGATAAATCTCAATCAGTAAGCAAAAAATAAGTAAAGTGATCTAGCCTCTAGTTGTTCGACAATTTATTTTTGGTGGATGGTAAAAAATAAAAATATTTTTGTCATTAATATCCACTCGGAGATCAACACATTCTCCAAATCTTGGACTGTCAATTACGCAATTATGGACCGGCAATCAAAGTTATAAGCAAAACAAACTGATTTGACCCATGGCAATGGCACTGAGAGACCTAGGTCTGCATGTGGTCAGAAATGAATATTGCCTAAGAATTGACTACTTCTGGAGAAATAGCATATTTCTTCAGTGGAAATTTTTGAAAGTCCGGGGCATTTACACAAAAATCTTCAAAGAGAAGTTGAAATCTTTAGTTATCATTTTACTGGAGTCTTCCTCAAAGTCATTGCTAGAAGTAAATTTGCTCAGGCCTTCTCTCTTTACCAACAGAATTTGAGGATACTTTCATTTTCTGCTCGATTTTTACTCATGGAAAAATTTCTCAGCAAAAATTGATGTACTTATTCTGATTTATTTTCTATGCTTGTTCATAGTTCAACTGCAAACTGTTCAAAAATTATTGCGAAAAACTGGTTTCTTTTCAGTGCATCCCTCTGCACTTGGTTTGTCTGTCTACGACCTAATTTTCTTGTCCGCCTTTAAGAAGCACCAATAGAATTTCTCTCAAAAGTTCTAGTTTTTTTAAAGACCGAGGGTGGCTACCGCCACTCTTGATCTTTACTTTTGAATTGTTAGAGTAACTTCTGTCGTATCAATTTCATTCAGAGTTTCTTTGCCTATTTTTTTTTTTTTTCCATAACATTTAGAGAAGGCAATAGGTTGCCTCATCAGTTTTTACGTACGCCTTTTTTTATACTTAATCTCTTTCTCTGAATGCTCGTCCAACCAAAGGAGGCCTCAAATTATTAGGTCTGGTTTGTCTTGAAATCGTATCCAAAAATTTTAGTGAAACAACTGTGCAATCCTCTTTATTCTCTGTTCCCAGAGTTTCTTTTACTATCAACCAAAGAAAAGTATGATGTTTTCAATATTTATATTCAATTTGTTAGTTAGTGTATTTAAAATTTATTATATTTTTATTTTGTATATGCATCTTGTGGGCTTAATTTCTCGTGTGATGAATAATTTGTATTTCTTATCTTGTGAAGGGAGGCTGCCAAGAAAGCCCAGTGGTTGGCCGATCAACATTTTAAGATTAGATGCTTTAATCCGCCTCTTGTTTAGCAGTATCTTTTTTCTTCTTCTTATATGAAGCCTTATGCATGAAAGGGAGTACCATATAGAAAATCAGCCTAATTAAGCTAATATGGCTTTTTCAGCAAATTTGGTCCAAGTATACGCATTTTAAATGAAGTACATAAAATGAAAACAAGCTCATGAGCTTGTAGAGTCACTGAATGGATCCAATAAAATAGTTTCCATCAAAGGGAGCTAATTCAGTCAGATTCAAAGAGATCCTTGCAGTGCGTTCTCCGCATAATTTAATTTCAGTATGAAGTCAATTTTGAGTGCCCTTTACAGAGGGGTTTTCAGGGTCAACTGAACACTACATTTAATTTTTCATGTCTTTGTTTCTATGCTGTTAGAAGTTAGAAGTTTTTCTCCACTCTAATTAAGTTTGGATTCGATGGTCAAAGTGCGAAACTATTGTGGTGATTCATATTTTCCGCTCCCATTTCATTTTTTTTTTTGGAAAGAAACAAGTCAACGCTATAGCTTGAAATTTCTGCAGAATATTATTCCCCTGACAGAAAACAGAAGTCAGGAAATTTTCAAGAAATTATGTTGAATAGTTTACCGAAGAAAAACTAAAATATGACTGGAAGTTTACAAAGTTGCGAACATGGATATGTGGCTTTGCTTTTTGGTCATGATCCCTCTCTTCCTTTTTTGCAATTGTTGTTGAATGTTTCTTCATTCAAGAAACTTCTCATCCAATACCTCAGATATTCTGACTAAACTTAATGTGAATGCAATTCATAACTTTCAATTTTAAAGTGCATCAAGAAGAGAGGGTCTGGATCCATTTTAAATTCATGTATGTATTGGAGAATCGAAATCAGCCTCCCGCACTGAATTGATTCAGTCGTGAATTTTACATGACAAATCCTCTCAAAACTAAACTTTAGTCTCTGACTTTGCTATGGGAAAAATTGTATTGTTGTAATGTCAAGTCTTTTCTGCCCCTCCAAAAAATCTCCATTGAAAGTGGAAAAAATTAAGAACACCTTTCGTCTCAATGTTTAATTTGTGAAGTCAAAATGTAATGTATGTTCCAAATCGCCAAGTAAAACTGAATTGCTGGGGATTTTATTTCCTTTGGGGAAGAGAAAGGAAGATTGGTTAAAGAGAACTGGAGTAGATTTTTTCACAGGAAAAAAAGCAAAAAATGAAAAAGACTTGCCAAAATACTTAAATATTAGACAGCAAGATGGTTTTTTTTTTTTTGGAATTAAAATCTTCCAGCTACCTTCCGTAAGTTTTGAAACTTTTCATCATAAGAGTGCCATCAGCAGTTAAATACTCAATAGATCAATCCAAGCTTTTCCAATTTATTTTTTTTATTTTTTAATTTAGCTATTTAATAAATTTTTATTTATTTGTGATAAAACTTGTGTTCCATTGAGCTAGTAAAAATGTAGTTAGTCACTTAGTTTTGTGAACAAATTGGACGTTTTGCATCATTTTTTAATTGTATTCATCGATATGTATTTCTGTATATATTAGTGTTTGTAAGGTAAATGTACTAAAATTTTTATATGTTGAACATCAATTAAGCCAAGAGCTGGCAGCTTGTTTGGAACTATAAAAACAAAAACAAGAAATATCACAAATTCTTTCATTAAAACAAACATCACATGAATGTTTCTTCATAAAGACATTTCGTAGTTTCTTATTTTATCCCAAGTCTCCTTGAATGATGGACAACCTCAACCGCTGCAACCACAGAATTTAGTAGTGTACTCACACAATTCATGTCTTAACGGAAATTTAGCTCCATCTTATTTTGACATTTTGATGAAAACAACACTTCAAAACAATGGGCTTGCTGAACCCTTTGAAAGGCCTCCAAGTACAAGTGGCTTATTATTGTCATCATTAGGAGTATGGAATTGGGTTGTTCTCAACGATATGGAAAGTGTAGATTGGTTGTAGCCTACGAAAAAACGTGACACCTGGAGCGGTCGTTCGAAAGGCGGGTGGGAGTGGAATTGTCAAATTGCTATTCTCGTTATAGCTTCAATTACATGGAATCTTACGGGAGTTTTCATAATAAATTATTAAGCGTTGAAATTTTCATCATAAACTCACTTGAAGAGTGGCTAAGTTTCGTAACTGAACACAGATTTTCTAACTGTCAGTTCTGAATTTGATGCAAGTCTTTATTCAGCAACAGTTTCATAAGAAACCATGGAAAGCGACTATCCTCGCCCTAACCTAATAGTGGCTCCTGATGTGTTACAAATTTCACTGTTGGCGTAGCTTGGGATCATCTTATCTATAGTTTCTAGATCCTTTGTTGTACCTGAGAAAACGAAATTTAAGCCTATCTTTTCAATATCCAAGGAAAGAAAATAAAATAAAATCTATGGAAAAAATCAAAGATGCACTTGAATCCCTGTCAATTTTTCTCGATTTTGGACATGAAGAAATTCAAGATTATAGTCAAATCCTGCGTAGTTCGAGGCGCAGAATCGATTGTACATGGTTCTGCAGCTTGGCACGGTTTCCTGAGCTGAGGACCGGTACAAAACGAGGGCTTTCATAAGTTTACCAAGAAATACCACGAACCAGCCGACTCATGGCGCCTTTTAGACCAGAAAATTGGACTCCTCAGGTCATTTCATAGAGAACTATTTTCATTTTAGCCCTATTGGGCGCTGAGAAATATGTAGTCAAAATCGAGTGTTTTTGACCGGTTTTGAATGTCCACCAAGCACTAAAAAAATGTTTAGTCCATGTAATGTGACCATAGGAGAACACTTTTTCATACGGGAAAGTTCCTTTTTGTCCCAAGTTGGGCCCTTTTTAAAAGAAACAATTCCGTTCTGTTTGAAATTTAATTTTTTTTTCTTTCTTTTTTTTTAAGCGAAAGCCATCAGGTGTCACGTTAGAAGTGGACCTGAATCATGTGTGCATCCGAAAGTACGAGATACGTTCCTGCCATGAGCAAATCAGGTATTATTACTAATCATGAGAAAAGCTGAGTGTCTGATGAAATTTGTAAAGAGGGTGGGGGGGAGTGGAGAGGGAGAGGGAGAGTGAAAAAATTTGCATACATAGGTACAAATTAATTTTTCCTAATGGACCATTTTCAGTTGTGTTCAAGACAAATAAATGGACCCCTAGACATTACTTGTTTAAATTGTTTTTATGGAGGGCACTTGTTGCACAATTATACATTAAATGTGACGTAGTAAACTATTATTGATAGGTACTGAAGGTCTTAAATGCAAAAACACAATACAGATTAAAGAACCTGGGCTATCTGGCTATTAAAAGCAGAAAAGAGAAATAATAACACGACTAGAATTCCTTCAATAAAGAAAATTATTCTTTATTTAATGATCGTTTTCGTTACATCACTGTTCAAACTTTGCAAATGAATGTAAAATAAAATTGATTTTTTATTAGAACTAAAATACAGCAAGTATTTACATGAAGAAAAAAAAATATCCCCAGACTCCCTCTTTCTCGGTTTACGACTTAATAATGGGGTCATCAGAGTAATAGATGTACATATATTACTTGCTCATTTCATGGGTGCAATCTAAGAGAAATGAATGTTGTTGATAGCTCTAACTAAGCAATGGGAAGGAAGAGCCTAGGAGTTCAAAAATATGAACATACCATTTAAGAAATGATTATCCTCTCTAGAGACTTTATTTGAAAATTTAAAACAAGATTCATTCAGATGTTCTCGATCGGCACCTCAGAAGGAACATAGCTGAAAGTCTGGGGAGACTTCAAAAAACAGAAACGTCCACTCGACTTGAAAAGTACGAAAACATGAAAAACTTAATTCAGAACCAAATAGATTAGGATCAAAGGTAGTATGCAATCGGAATAATTAATTCGACCGATGATATGAGATCATTTTTATATTGCATCAGTGATTCTGTTTAAGAACAATAAACATCTGCATACATACTTAAAGTATATTTCTTCCGGAAAGTTTATCAAAGTGATCAGCGATAATTTTTTTTGTAATACTTTACAAATATGGCTCAAATTTCTTGTAATGGCATCCATATCCCAACATAACCTTCCCATCTAAAAGCATTACAGTTATAGGCTTTCTTACAAATATTTTTTTATCCAAATAAAGCAACTACTACCCAACAGCTAGAATGTGAGTAGTTGAAATTTGGATTCAGTCATCCAGACAACAGCATTAAATAAGCTGATTCTCAAAAATTCCACCCTTAACTTTTTTCATTCTCTGGCTATTAAGATGAAATAACACATAAGTTAATTCTTGTGCAAAAAGAAGATGCCTTTATTTTATGAGTGGGCATTGCACTCAGGTTCCGACTCTTTTTCCAATATATCAATAAGAAAATATTTTCATCCAAATAAATTGAGAAAATTAATGAAATATACATGAACACAGTCGTAAAGATCCTGTTAAAACAGAAAACCTCCCCTAAGACGGAGTAGGTATTCAAGTAAATGCGTTGGTGAATGGCATGAATTTATTGACGCTTGCTACATGTTCGGGAGACTTTTCAATTAACTTAATAAGAATAAGGTCCTTCTGCACAATTCTAATTCTCAAGAATCTTTTCTTCGCACAGCTAGACTACATACATTATACCACTCCTGTAAATTGAAAGAGTGTGCCAGAGGATGACAAGGGTTCAGATTGTCAAGTTAGATTTAGGTTACCCTGAGAGAAGATCAGATTACAGGAATCATGATGAAACAGCTGTCCACAGGGTTACTGATCGAGAGCGTTTAAAACTTTTACATGAACAAAATCAGATACAAGTCTAATGGCAGTATAGAAATCTCTACCACCTCATTAAAATTGAAAGATAAATAACCTACTTTTAAATTTGAAAATTTAACAACAAATTCGATCGCAGCTTTGCTGACCTGCACCTCAAAGCCCGTATTATTTGAAGCCCTGGTGATTAAAAATTTCAATTGTCCAAAACAGACTATAAACAATAGTTATACACGCTAATCTTCTGCATGACTCAAGTTCTAGATACACCTTAAAATTTACACTAAAAATGAAATAGTGAGCATAGATAGATAACTTCTACACTTAGTAAAGCTTTCAGTGGTTATAGAAAATTTCGTCAACAACTTTTGGTCTGCCCACACATTTCGTCCAGGCATTCATATCCGCACATACAACAGGCTAGAGTGGATGGATGCCGATTCACAGGAGATTTAAGTGTAACTTTGGCATCCCCACACCTGCTGCTAATCGCGCTCCCAAGAATGATCTTATAAGTTTTGAGCTTACCTTCCTCCTGTCCCACTCGTTTTCAGGAAACATAAGGGGAAACAGAACGTAGATGGTTGGTAATATTTCTTGTATGGACCAATAAAATTTGGACAATAATTACACATAAACCAATCTGTTGCGGCCAGAGAAATTTGTGGACGCTCACGCCTGAGCGAAATGAATGGGCAGATAAAATGTCATTGATGAAATGTCCTGAAACCCCATTAGCATCATACGTTATCGCGTCTCTGCTTTATGTTTTGGTGGTTTGAAACTTTTGAATTTCTTGGCTTTATGTTCTTTTTTAGAGCTTCCAGCTTGAAAAGCTTTCCAGCTATCAACCCTGTTTTGTCTCGATTCCTGAAAACAGAAAGAATCAAAAGAGTGAGTACATATTTTTAACAATTGATGAAAGCAAATAAAGAAATAATCTACTTATTTAATTAAAATATAGTATTACAATTATTAATACACGGTACTTTTAATATTGATGATTAAAATCAGGAAAAGCCTATCACTGATCCTAATACTGCAAATAAATTCCTTCGAACTTCATTTATTAAATGGAGACCTACTTGACACATTTTCTTGAAATTTTCTTAAAATTTTGTTCGGTGCGTAGGAGGAAAACAGAGATAGACACTCTGATCAGTTTTCTTTTCGTAAAATAAATAACGAAACGAAAATCAGAATGTACATCATAGAATTAGCACTTTTCTCTTTTACCCATCCATGAAGCTCACATCTTTTTTTCTTCCAGTGATCTTAAATCAACAATGAGACAAAAAAAAAAAAAACTGTTGCTGAATAGCATCAAGCTAAAAAGTGGTGAAAAATTTGAAGAGATAATGAGTAATTCGGTATCGGAGAAACCCCTGAAGGATGAATTTTTGAAGTCTTCTCCTGAGGGAAGTTAGAGCAGATGTTAAACAAAAGAATGAAATTTTCTTAATTGAATAATTATTCTACCATCTCTTATTTCCAGTTTTTCTACTATAACTGTCAAAGTCAACTTACAGCTAAATATCACGACTCAATATTTTTCTGCAGAGTTTATGTGTTTACAAGGAGAAAAAAAAGCAAAACAGTTTTTAAGTAACATACCTATATATCAACGGTGAAAGTCGGCAATCACATAACTCGGTTTGCAACGTCGCAGACTTCCCGTCATGCTTTATTTTTTAAATGCAAAACCGTGATTTTTCTTCTCTGTGCAAAGAAAATTCTGCAAAAACTTCAAGGAATGATGTCAATTTGTTCTCTTTTGAAAAAATAACATAGAGGCGGAGATTTTTAAACACCGCAGGCGAGATATGTGACTGCCGACTTACTCCATCGATATGTGACTGTTCACAAAAAGAGGGGCCTTAGTCAATAGGGAAAATTTTTTCAATACATGGATATGGTGATGTATGTCAAATTGGATCCAAAAATCAGACTTGGATATTCAACATAAGACTTTCTGGTGTCATTCGGAATAAAATACAAGCAGGTCAGTACACGTTCATTTTTAAAGAGTGTATGTAAGGTGCATTATAGCCTGTTGATCATTTTGTAGAATTGAAGTGGAATTGAAGTCACCATAACTTATGTTCCATTTGAAATTTTTGGACATCTTTCATACCAAAATGCTTGGAGAATATTTTTTTCTTCTTTGGTATTATTATATTAAGTACTTGCAGCTCAAGGTCTCTTTTCCTGCAGACAGTAATTTGCATACATACGTAAACTTTTGAATAATTTGTTATTTAGATGAGGTAAAGGTTTTTAAAAATGAACAGAAGATTACCTCAAAATTTTTTTGCCATTCCTTTTCTAGATGAACTTTCTCCTCCTCTTCAATCTCTTGTTCTCTTTTTCGTTTCGTTTCTTCCATGGTCCTTACTTCAAGATTCCTCTTCTTTCGTTCCAAATCTGCAAATAATTTCATGGTCATAACATAGACAGAGTGTTTATATTTTACAGGATCGTCTTCATCGACAGTGGGATCTTTACCTTCTCGCTTCAGTTTTTTACGCTTCTCTGATATCTGAAAAAAAAAAAAAATATGTAGATTCAGCAAATGTCATGGTTGAATACGATCGGGACAAGGCATTTAAGTGGACAAAAACAGCAATAGATCTAAAACTAAGCTTCACTGAATGGGTCAGTTGCGCTGGTCACAGAATAGTGTTTTAATGCTTAATTCTTGTAGATTAGCTGAAAATAATAAGATCCGTCCAAACCGCAACTTTCAACATTCAGTATTAACCGAGATAAGTCTTTCAAAAAGTCAGGTTTTTGACGTCATCCATCGCGGCAGTGACACCCTTGGTTTCTTCCTCTTTAGTTCGATCAGTGATGCAGAGGATGCAATGCAAAACTTCAGCGATGTTAGACGTAAATAAACTGAGATCATCTGACTGACTGCCTAATCTCTTCACAACGAGTGCCTTATCTCCTGATAAGAAGATCTATAAAGTGCAAATCAGTCTGTTTCTTGAGTTTGTTTACGTCTAACATTGTTGAAGTCATGCATTGCACCCTTTGCATCACTGATCGAACAAAGGAAGAAGAAACCAATGGTATCACTGCCGCAGTGGATGACATAAAAAACCTGACTTTTCAAAGGGCAATATCTCGGTTAAAATTGAACGTAGGAAGTTGCGGTTTGGACAGTTTTTACTATTTTTCACTAATCTAAATATCACCTATCTGTGGTCTGAGATTTTGTAGAACTAAGAGAAAACTTCGCCATTTTTGTAATTATGAGGTTAGATTAGCAATTTTTTCATACATTACATTGTCACTGAAGCAATTTCCTCAGAAATGGAAAAAAACTAAACTCATTAGCTTGCATATTTTATACTGTAGAATGCGGCAAAGTTGCTCAAACTTTCTTCGCCAAAATTATCAGTTGGGCAGTATTATTTGTTAGCCCTCGATATGTATGATACAGCTGGAAAAATACTCACTAAAATTATATGCAAGCCTTTTTTGAATTAACTTCCATAGTTCGATACCCAAATCTGAGCTCCCCCCACTTAATGCAAGATTTGATTGCTACAATAAAAGCAAGGTTTTGGCATCATCAAAAACCTACAAAAAAGCTGATCAACTTCATTACCTGTCCTCAAGAACGCTCCAGGTGTTCCTTTTGATAGACTCATGTAATTGTCAAATTCTAGAAATTTTACTAAGTTCTGGAAAATGGCAAAAATGATGATTTTTTGCCACATGGGTATTGAGCATGACGCTTGAAAAGGAATTTTTTTTGTCAAGAACTATTTTGTGTAAATCTAACACAAGGAGTGGTTGCGTGGTGCCTCTTGACTTGCCGTGGTGATCTTGACGGAATGCGGCCAAAAATTTCTTTTCCTATAAAACCTTTGCTTCTCTATTTTGTAGTTTTCGCTTATGGGCCCTGGAATACCCAATTTTTGTTGAAGTGGCAAATTACCCCTCTACGCATTTCAGATCCCAGTGATGTAATAAAAATATAGGGTGACCTTCCCTGGTAAGTATGACATCACCAGTCTACCCTATTCTAAGTCCGAATTGAAAATTTGTTGTTTAGTGATCCACGGGCAGCCCTCTTCTCCCCAGACACAGGAAAGTTATGACTGTACAAATGAGAATAAATTACATTTAAAATATCGCCAGACTTCAGCTCCAAACATCAATTATGCGCATTGTGGGAGAGTAATTACAATTTTCAAAAAAATTGGAAGGAATAATCTCTACAGTTGCAAGATTGAACTATTCAATGACATTCAAGCGAAAGTTATACATTGATGTATACAATCAGTTACACAAATTCTCACCATTAAATCTGTCCTTCCTTTTGCTTCTTCAATGACTTCCATGCACTTTGCTCGTGATTCTTCATTTTCTAGACATTTCCATGACTTATTCACAACTGAAAAATAATAGTAATGGAATTTGTTAAATTATTGTAGAGTCAGATATGATCAGTCTAAACAAGACACTCTGACACGTATGTGTATTTGTGCATGCATACAGACTGTCCATTCAACCTGCAAATGTCATTGATCATGGAGTCAGACTACTTGTGTGATTGAGGCTTATAGAGAAGAAAATGTCTCATGAATAAAAGGGGAAATAAAATGCAATCATCAAAACTGATGCATCCACTTTAGTAAAATATCACGGAGTAGAAATATTTCGAAGATGATATTATACTTGACTCAAAATATCCTTCAATCCAAAGAAGGTTTCATAAGGATCAATGTAAAAAACATTGCACAAATTTGGAGTTTATATGTATACCAAGCAAAATCCAGTTTAGGTTGAGGTGACTTTTTTCAAAACGCAGACCATTTTTAGGAAATATTAAAGAAATCAGTGCTTAAAAATTTAGTCATGGTTGATGAAAATTTCAATTTTTCTTTAATTTGGAAACAATGAAAGAGGAAGCTTAAGATACAGCATTAAGGGTTAAAAATGATAAAATTGCATGATCATTTTAATTTCTTCTATGAATAGGTAATGAGAAAATGAAAAAAAATTACATTGATTTTTTCAATCATTTCACAAGGGTTTGATTTATATAAAAAGAGGAAATATCATGCACAAACCAGAACCCTTTAAAACTACAAGATGACGTATCTCAGTTTGCAACGTTGCAGACTTACTGTCATCTTCCTTTTTTTAATGGAAAACTACTCAACATAAATTCTTGGAAACTTCAAAGAATGATGTTCATGTGTTTTCCTTCGCAAAAATAAATTGGGAGCAGAGATTTTTAAACACCGGGCAAGATACGGGGTCTGGTATTTTTACTGTCGATATTTTTCTTTTGCCATGTCTTTTCAAGTTTCATACTTATTTTTAAACTTACTTTCAAAGGCTTTCTGCGCTCGCTCTGAATCATCTTGATTTTTGTCTGGATGGACTAGAATAGAAAGCTGAAAAAAGAATAGGAATGTTAATAATAAAAGCCACCAGGACAAAAAATAAAAAAATAAATTTTGCATTTTTATGAGATGGAGTTACTTAAATAAGTTAGTTTTGACAGTGAATGAAAAGACATTCTCATGTTTAAGTCTCCACATTCTTTGCTTTTAGGTGTTCCTTTGTTAAAATGTTTAGAGCTATTGTTTTACTTCATGCTTCATAAGTACAACCAATTTACCTGTTTCATTGTTTGAAATGATAAAACATATCAAAAGTTAGAATTCCAGGGAGCCATAAACTTCTTGAAAGCCATAAAAAAAGATAATAATGTGATTTTCTACATAAAATGATCATCTTTGAACAACTGATGAACATTCACAACAGTGTAGGTTGTCATGAAGATGGATGACATAATTATTGCTCAAAATTTGCTGATGACTCCCATTGTTAGCAAAATGTTTCTTCATTTACCCGGTGATAACTGATATCATATTAAATTATTTCATTAAAAATCCATTTAAACTGCTCATATTCAAATAGCTTTGTTTTTGGATGCAGTGTCCAAGATAATAATACTATACGCGATGGCAACAAAGCAATAAGATACATTTTGATTTATTTACACAAAGTTCATTTTGAGATAATTTTGTCGTAGGGAGAGATACTTAGTTTAATTCCCTATAAAGAAGGAAAAGTATAAACTTACTCGCCGGTACATTTTCTTGGCAGCATCAATAGGTGCATCAGGTTCAATTTGGAGAACTTCGAAGGGATTTAAATTGAAGTATGTTGAGCCAGGTCTTAATAATCTATCAATTTGTTGCTTGGGAGTTAGTACAGAATCTCTTGTTTCTATTTCTTTGACCTAGGTAAAACAGACGAAAAATCTTATTAATCGATTCCACACTCAAAAGAAAATCATACAAAAATTTTAAGATTATGTAGACACACATAGACGGGAAAATCAGAAAAAAGGCCAATGAATGACTACACACGCAACACATGGCGTCAAGTATTGGTGCCTGATTATGAGACACATCAAGCACCATCAACTGACGAATAAGTAGGTATCAGACTGTAGAGTGATGGATCTGTTCTTTCACCGATGGTGATTTCACAGCTTCAAGAAGTATTTCCAAGGCAATTTTAGGCCTGCTTCAAACAAGACAACCTTCCTCAAATTTTCTGCTTGTGTAAGCGGCCGTGGCAGTAAGCAAACCTTAAGAGGTCTGACTCTAGCAATGTGTAGAAAGGTTGCATGCAGTTAAATTTGTGAGTCTATTCTACATTACTTTAGGTATGCTATTCAATTGTTGCGAGAGGGAAACAGTTAGAGAACAGCGAGACATTTATCTAATTGGAGGTTGAATAAATGGAAGGCAGGGAAATATTCTAAATTGATAAAGCACTTCCAGGTACTAGACGATCAAAACTACGCTGAGGACTTATGAGTCATTATAATGATGCCTCGAGTTGATAAAGTTCCTAATTCTTTCTTTCCATTGAAGCTTAAACGCAAATTAAAACACTGCACTCGTATAAACATGACTATCAAGAAAAGTCTAAACCATGATTCCATCAACACTCAGTCACACTCAACAATGGTGTAATCTGCGTTTACTCTTCGGCCTGTTGAGCGGTATTTCATCAATCTAATGAAATAGTAATTTTGGTCTTAACATACAATGTGATGACAATAAACTCACACAGCACAAAATTTGATTACCTGCGGCGAAACCGCTCGAGTGCTTAGTGCAGCACTCGCATGCTTAAATCTTATGAATTCATTGAATCTGTAGAACTAGAAACTGAGAAGGCAGACTAAAATTTTTTGTAATAACCTTGTTTACGTTTTGATCTTAGGAAAATTTTAAGGACTACGCTATCTTAACGACTGCCAAACATACGGATTGGTTTGTACATTCACTTGATGAGTAGAAAAAGGGTGATGAAAATTAACTGAATTATCTTGGACATATCGAGGTTGGAAGAAATTAAAACTTACTTCTGTCAAAAATTCACTTAGAACCTCTTCTTTCTCAGGAGGTGGAAGAGGTGGAGGTCCAGCTTCAGGGGGCACAGGTATAGATTCCATGATGGGTGAGATTTAGGCCTGGGAGATACAAAAAGTACGAAGAAAAAGAGACAAAATTTGAGCGAAGAATAGGAAATGACACAAATAATGTTAGTTATCACTCATGTTAATGCCACCAATACAAAGACGTTTTAAAACACAAAACACAGTTTTTGAGGTTATAAAAGCAAAGTATAAACACTGAGGCGCGAGGTTGCCACGATCGTCTTGTAAAGGATTTCTACTGGAGAGCAGACTGCATAATCATTTCGCCCCCGTATCTTTATTGTAATGTAGGTCATTTATTGCGGGTCGAGAGGTCATGATATAGGAATTTTTTGACGCGCGCGGAACGCAGTAACGTGATCCAAAAAACCGCACTATGTCACGGGGATGCTAAATTAGCAACGATTGATGACGGCGCAGAGATGCAACTATTCATGCTTGTTGGATGTCTGTGTTGCATCTGCAAAATTGAAGGCGCGATGGCGCGATGAGGCGTGAACTTCCAGTCCAGTCGTCTGCTTTACGCTGCCAATGATCTTCGGCTTTCTTGACACTGGATTTTTGCTCTTGTTTCAATTTAATGTCCGATTCTTATTGGGCTGTGATGTAAACCTACATCTAAAGCTCGTAAGTACCGGCTCTTTACTTAATTCTCCTAGAAGGGCTAGTCGCGGGTCAATTTGACCTGGCTTGGGATTTCTAGAGGTGGTTGCCAACTAATAATCCCTGACATTCAACTTTTTCCTTTTTGTCTATTTGACGTCTGATTCTTTTTTCACCATATATTTGTACCTATATCTAAGGATCGTATACACTCATCTACTGGTCTCATGTATAATCCGTGAAAATCGTGATTGTTGCGAGCCTCGGGTCAATTTGACCCAGCTTGGGCATCTAAGGGTTAAATAACAATTTTTTACACTTTATTGTTCTTTTCAATAATTATTTTTTACAAATTCAATAGCCGCATCCATAGAACTTTCTACTGCTAGAACTTTACCTTTATTTTTTCTATATTTTTCATCAAACCTCAAAATTTTCATCGATTATTTCATTTTTAAAATTATTTGTATGCATAACTAGTTTTTTAACTTCATCTTTGTTTTATTTTTTTTAGTTGTTAATTTTTTCATTATTTTCTATTCATCGGGACTTAAACAAAGAGTGCAAAAACAGGATAGTAACAAAATGTTTTTTTATTATGTTCTGTGTGAACTAATGTGCACAAGTCATACAAAAATATACATATCACAGACAGGAGTAGAGAGCTTTTAAGGTGACTTCCATGCTCTTGATCCAGCCACCATCACCACGCCGCTCTACCACAAAAATGAAACATATTGTTTTCTTAAAAATTGTTACAAAATTTGAACCTTTTTCTGGTACTTGGTGGACACGATGTGCGACAAAACACCACGTTACATCCCTGGACGTCACTTGCTCAAGCATGAATCGAAGGAAACAACAAATAATTACTAGTAAGACTTTTTTACCAAGTTACAAGACACGTAATCGTCCGTGATTATACTAGCACCTGAGTATACCATCAGTCTACTTGATTTTTGTCGCAGTGATACTATAGGGTAAAAATAACCAGACATTTGGTAGTATTTACCATACGTATGGTGAGTGCGATTAGAGCTACGGGATTTGCGCCACAATAAGGTTTGTTGGTGCGATTAGCGTATGCTCATATTACCGTCTCTCAAACCGTTCCTTCTTATTTCAGTGTGGGCATTATACGTGGAGAAGCATACTATCGTGCCGCGGAAAAATGGCGCATGAACTTCTAAATGTTGCCAAATTTCCCGCTATAAAATATTAATTCTCCAGGAAAGATATCACTTACTTCCCCTTAAACTTTTGAAGTACTTCACATTAAATTTCAAACAAAATTAGCAAAAAATTGGAAGATGAAAATATTTACAAGTTTTTCAGAAATAGAGAAATCCTATTTTGTCCCTAGAAATTTGGTTTTGTCCGAAGCATTAACCGCGTTCCCTCCTGGCACCGCAGCAAACGAGTGAAACATTCAAATAGACGTATGTATGTGAAAATTAATTAAACGAAAATGAACCATGTGCAAAGGGTTTGCATGCTCCAAAGTTCTTTTCGATTTTATTAATTTGCACATAGTTCCTTTCAGCTCAAATGTAGTTCAAATCAGGCTCAATGGAAATAGAAATAAATAAATAAAAGGAGGACATCGACGCTAACTGGTCGCAAGAGGGATGCTCTATGCGAATTGTTTGACTTCCAGCTTAAGTTTGTCATAAGCGGAGGACATAACATCGTAGACTCGTTGCCTCAGAGTGTCCAGGTCATCTAAAGTGAGCCCTTCGGTAGGGATCGGCTCGAGAACGTCAATGATCATTTTGCCTGTGAAAAGAAAAAAAACGCATTCAAATATAATAAAATTCATTTGATAAATCAAAATAACACATATTTCCTCATTGGGAGTTCATGAAAAAAATTCACGTTGGAAAGTTTTAAAAAGTCCAAAAGTAACTAGTAAAACAAATTTCAGTGTTTAATGTTTATATGTTCAAGCAGCGTGCTGATTATTGAGATTGATAGACACGGTGATAGATAAAGAAGACAAAGGGAAAATGGAGCTTCCCTATGATTGGAAGAAGTGGGTGGTTGCAATAGACAAATGAGGTAAGTAACAGAGTATAACTAGCGGCAACTCAGGAGAGACCCCACATTTTAGTCGAATTATTCGGGTGGGTTTGGTCAGGTGTTCGACTTTCTGCATATCTCGATTGCAAAGTTGGATAGTTTCAAGGGCATCAAGATAGCATTTTAGGCCACAGCCTCTGCCATCTCCGAATTTTGCAAATTTGACTGAAAATTCGACTGAAAATTTGACTTTTTAGATACGCCAAAAATTAACCCCCGGTACCAAGTTTCACAATAATGGGTCGAACAGGAGCTGCATATCGTGAGATCAGTAGAATTCTATATAGCGGAGAGCGATGTCAGTCAATTTGCATATATTAGTACGCCTTCATTTTTGTCTGATACAGTGCAATACTTGGTTATAGGACATTTCGTCAACGATTTTTTGTCCGCGCACCTGTTTTTTCCGGTAATCTACGCCCACGCGTTTTTTCGGCACGGGAGTTTTGGTCCACGTGCCAGTTGAGACCCAAAGTTAATTGGCCCACATGTAAATACAAACTACAATTGCTCACGACGTTTTTGGATGAAAATATATAATGTCTTGGAAGAATGAGGGTTTTTTTGTTTTTTTGTTTTTTTGTTTTGTCTGTTTGGTCCAACGGAGAATAATATTTAGTTGAGAGTTTTGGTAAAAATGGGGGAGCGTCAATTCCATGAGATAAAATTCACTAAAACTCTCTACACCTCTTTGGTGTAACAGGACTTAATTATCTTTCAAGAAATTCCCACCTTGTTATACGTGAACCGGATGAACCTTTATATTTGCCTCAGCTAAAGGCTTTTAGATTTTTCCTGTGTACGATAAGTATCTTGATTTATTTTGCGAGGAATGATCTGTATTCTGTACTTTTAAAGGATGCCTGTCATTCTTAATACGTTCAATTTCGTATAATACTGTGCAACACCTCTGTTGTGAAATAGTTGCTTCAGGCGCCGCCGCACGACGGGCGGGCGGCCAGCGCGAAACGCGCATTGGCGCCTACAAACCTAAGTGGATACTTCAAGCATTGTGCAATGCGTGCAGTATCCATTTAGGTTTGTAGGCGCCAGTGAGCCTCTCGCGCTGGCAGCACGCCGCTCCGCTCTGTTAGGCTCTAATATTTATACTCGCATAGTCAGCTTTTTTTAACTCATGATTTTGAAATGTTAGCACACTCTGCATTGATTATTCTCATTTAAATTGAAGGGAAAAATATGTATCAATTTATCAAAGGAGAATAATTATATAATGTGTGTTTTATAAATATTGGTGGTTCCGTGTCAAATTTAATGTTTTCCAAAGCACTTTAATTTTTTCTTTTACATTTTGTGCTTTTATTGTGCTGCAGCGAGGTGTACGCGCAACGAAACGCTCAAAATTTGACGTATTTGACTATAAATGATCGATATACCTACAAATAGGTTAAAACTAATGATTGCGTGCTTCTTGGTTTTTTTCCCTCTTTTATTCATTTTTGCAGTTTCTGTCGGCACAACTGCGTCTCATTGAGATTAATGTCGCTTGGAAAAGGTTTTACACATATTTGACACGTTTTAAAAATAGAAAATGAAGTAATAATTTCGTAAAGAAAAAATAAGAAAATAAAAAAAGTACCTATACATGTATAAGGTATCTTGTACCTACATTCAATATTTTAAGGATAGAAATAAAATCCAATATTCACCAATGACAATTTAAAAAGATAATTCAAAAGGAGAAAATAATAACATTTCATTTAGAAAATGAGCAACCATAACAACACCTCCTTCTCTCTCAATTTTTCATTTCCATTTTGTCAATATAATTTTCCATACCGACTAAAATGTAACGCTTGAACCAAGCCACTGTTGCTTATTTTACGTGCGGGCGTAAACTACTGGACAAAAAAAAGGTAAGCAGACAAAAAATCGTTGACAAAATGTCCTGAAAGCCAATACCTCTGTGATAGAATAGTTGCTGATAGCGCCTTATGCTTTTGACTTGATGGCAGATGATTACGTCTACCGCTGAAAATACGCGCTGTTGCGTGCGCAGTCACACATTTTATCATCAGTGAACCGATGGTGAGGTAAAAACATTCATACCTTAATTTGCGATGTTGCAAGTTTTTCACTGTCAATTTTAAATGGGTAAACCAGTTTGAACACTTCAAAATCTGCCGATATATTTCTGAGGTACGATAAAAACTATTATTTCAATGTTTCATTCAAGTCAATTTGTATAATTGAATCACATATTGCAGAAAGGGCACTATTGCAGAAATGTTAACTGTTCAGAAAATGCAAAAAAACTGATTTGAGTAAACTATAAGCTTCTGGAAAAAAATGTTTCGAGGTTTTCTTTTGTCTCCCAAGTAGACTGACAATTTCCATAAAAAAATTTTTACATGATACTCTTTCTGGGTTGTAAAAAATGACACTTGAAGGAAGAGTATTAGTGCCCTTTCTGTAATACATGGGGGAAGGAGCCATAAAGAGTGATAGAATGAAACCAGAAAATTATTTTAGCCCTTGTTTTTCATCTCAAATGTATGGCAATGATGCATGTCTATAGCGAAAGTTGGAAATTGTATATCTCCATTGCAACGTTTCAAAATTTCTGCTCTCTTTTTATACTATTTTTTAAAGAGAACTAATAGAGATTTTCCCATGAAATTTTCAGAAAACAATCCTGATGGTGTGAAGAAAATTTACACAAAATTTCAATAGAGAATACTTAAGAACAAAAAAAAGAAGACGAAATAAAATTGGCAATGTCGCAATTGATGGTATGCGATTTCGAACTTTCTCCATGTGGTTTGCCCACAGCTATGTAAATTTTAAAAATATTTCTGGCTTATTTCAAGTCAAGAAATTTAAAAAAAAAAAAAAAATGTATCTTTTGAAGTTCAATAGCGTAGTAATCTTCTACCTACTTCCTCATCCAACCTGTTAAGGGCTCCTCTCACTTCCTACACTCAAGGTTCAATTCTCACTCCTTTCATTTTCAGCGTGAGTGAAGCGTGTACCGTGATCACTGTCGTTTCGAAACGCAAAACTAACCTCTCAATCGTATCAAAACTAAACAAACGACGAGTTGCCGCTGCCGATGCACGCGCACCCAGTGGGCATGTACTGCAGAAAAGGCACTATATTGCTGCAACGGTGCCCTTTCTGCTCTACGTGAGGAACTTAACCCCTGTCAAAAACACATAAAAAATGCGAATATAGTGCCCTGTCTGCACTACAGAATGTGTCTACATACACTAATGCGAAAACCGCAAAAAACTCAATTTCGAAAAAAATGTCGATTGTGCCCTTTCTGTAATAGCTGATTCAATTGGTGAAAAGGGAAAAAGAAGTATGACTAGAAACACCGATATTATATAGGTACGTATAAGTTACGTGGCGTACCTCTTCGGAAGCGCTGTTTGCTCCCATCGATGAAGTAATACGGCGAATAGACCATGGGAATGATAGGAGCTTGACATTGGATGGCTACTTGGAAAGCCCCTCTTTTAAATGGAAGAAGTTTGTCCCCTCTCTTATTCCGTGTTCCTTCCGGAAAAATCCACAGTTTAACCTGTAAAGAAAAAATAATAATAATCATAATCCATTTTTGCCAAAGGTCTCGGATTTTTGGCCAATTCCCATGTTTCTCGGGAAAAATGGGGCGCTGTAATTGAACAAGATACTTTGACTCAAAAAAGAATTTTCCAACGGAAAAATCGCGGTATGTTATATTAACTTAAGACTTTTTTACGATTTTTTGGCGATAAAAACGTTAGGATCATCAATATTTGAGCGATTGCCCTCAATCTTGTCGCAATTTTATCTTTATACAATCGCGTTCGATAAAATCGAAATTGTATTTCAATTTATGAATATTTTTTTATTGATAATATTGCGATAAAATCGCGATTTTATTGCAAATTGAAGCGGTGAAATCGCAATTTTGCATCAAAGAATATTGCAACACATTGACGTCGATGAAACCGCGATCTATTCTCTGATAAAATTGCAACTTATCGCAATCACTGCTACTTGAGGATGTAGATCATATGGTGAAAAAAATGCAGTATTTTCAAATTGTAAAGCTTTGGCAAGGAAGCATGTAAAGTAGCCCAGACTCTTAAGGACAGTGCAGTTTTTATTTTGCACAGGTATATTCATTGACCAGACCTATTTTACTGCTTACACGGGACACCAACGACAAACTGCAAAATCTCAACTTTAAATTTGTACAGATGCATGTATTTATTTTTGAAAGGTTGTTTCTCCTTTTTAACATTATTTAATGCTCAGTGATGAAAATAGATTGACATGATTATCTCAGTCCTAAAAGGGCATTTCTACCGCAGTTTCATGGTAGAATTACCCGGGATTTTATCGATTAAGGTTGCAAATGTGCGGCCTATGAGGAACAAATCCGCACCGAAAAAAATAATATGCTGTTTTAGCATCTAGGATGTCAAAAATGTGTCTGGTGATCCCAAGATGCTGCCTTTACTGCCCCCGCAGTTAATTTTACATCTTGTGAATGCAAATTCAACTGCGGGGGCAGTAAAGGCAGCATCTTGGGATCACCAGACACATTTTTGACATCCTAGATGCTAAAACAGCATATTATGTTTTTCGGTGCGATGAAGATATCACCACACTGGGTAACAGTACGTGCAAGAGGTAATTCGATTAGTTATGTCGCAAAATCGTAAAGTTATCATGGTAATTCTATTATTCATTTTTTTGCTCGTGTGATCAGTTGCCAAATATAAAACCACTCTTTCTTCAAGTTTGAAAAATCATCATGATGATGAAAATAATAGCATTTGGCCTTTGTTGGTGTCTCACTCTGACCTTTTGATGGATAGCCTCAGAGGCAGCCTCAATCCTTTTCAAAGCTTGAGCTGGTTCTTTACGGTCTATGAAAACCATTCCGGACAGCCACAGAACTATCCCGACAGGCAAAACGTACAACACCTCCTTCTTAGCTATAGCCGTGGCTTTTCTCAGAATTCCCAACGCATGAACCACTCCTGTGAACATAAATACAACCTGAATAGCTTTGGGGTGCAGACAAATGTTCTCACAATGTTCCCAATGTGAGCCGCAGCCTGCACGTACTGTGAGGAAATGGACCACTAGACAAGGTACGAATTCAAGCATTCTGATACATGTCTCTTAAGCAGAATTTCACGTAGAACACGATTCGCGCAACGAAAATGACTGAAACTAACTCCTGACGAAGATATTAACCTTTTTATTTCACATTGGTTACGCGGATTTTGAACTGCCCGCTCATAAGAAACTCAAAACTCAACGTGAGTCAAATCGCGCACTACAACAGTTTCAGCAAGCCTCTCATCAATCGAGCACTGTTCATTTCCCACCATGTGTTGTTCAAATTATAAGCAACTTACTATAGCTGAGCCAAAGCGTCAAAATTGTGGTTGCCAGATTTTCATATCGCAGAGACTGTCACGATAATATTCAACGCGCGACGTGAATCACGTAGAGCATTGAGTTTTCTTGAGCGGGTGGTTTGAATTCACGCATCAGGAATCATTAAATATCTTCGTAAGGAGTTGATTTTGGTAATTTTTGTAGTGCGCATTGTGTTTTTAGTGAAATTTTGGTCAATAAACATGTATCAGAATGCTTAAATTCGCACCTTGTCTAGTGGTCCATTCTAGGGCTTATTAGGATCAAAATCATCGATGAGAAAGTCCCCTTCCCCCTTATCACATTACTAAGAAGAGAAAGTAGCAAATATAAGAATTTTCTGTAACTTTTTTTTCAAAAAAATTCTGTAACTATGCATTATTGAATCTATAAATCGACTATAAAACAAAAATAAATGTTTGCCTATATGCATGGAATAAGTACTTTATTAACTCACATACCGATGCATTTCGGCTAGCATAGCCATCATCAGGGTATTACACATAAGAACAAATATTAAAAAATCATTAAAAATAAAAAACTAGAGTAAAAGAAAACATAGTAGGTTTGCGAGATGTAGGCAAAAGTTTGCTCTAGCTCCTAATTTTTAATGACCTGTCAATATTTGTTCTTATGTGTAATACCCTGAAGATGGCTATGTTAGCCGAAATGCATTGGTATGTGAGTTAATTTTGTACTTATTTCATGCATCTAAGCAAACATTCATTTTTTGTTTTATAGCAAATAAAAGAGCACAGATTTTTGAAATTTTTCTCTCAACGCTTACTTTTGACATATTTCGTCGTTTCCCTCGTGAAAGAACTCAACTCCATTTCAATGCTGCCAAATTTTCCCTCGCAAATTGCATATTGACCAGGATACTCTTGGGCTCTTCCACTAGAGTGGGTTTTGAATGAGCGGGAAGCTTGAATGTACTAATGCTATGGTAAATGAATGTAAACAAAATTTCTCTGTTCCAAGTTAATATTGCACTTTATTTGTGCTCTGTTAAAAATGTTGATGGAGAGACACATGTTGTGGTGCTCTAATTATCACCATTTGCGGTGTACATTGTTAAGTTTTCACTTGAATTATTAGTCTTAAGACTGAGTGGTCTCTGAATAAAAAATATTCACATAATGTTTGAACATTACCTAAGGCATCTAGCATGGACTGATGATTAGAGCAAATGACTGCCCCTCGATCTTCAGCCAAAATGTGAGCGTTGCGAATCTCCCAGGACACGCCTATGACATGGGTGATACGTTTGTATAGATCAGCTCCAAATCTGTAACGCAAATCCCATCCCCAGAGTCAACACAATATTTTACGGATTGAGCGTGTCCAAAATCAGCAGGACGAATAAGCGATAATGTTAAATTTGAAAGATACAATATCATTAGCGATGCCTTTGACGGCAAATTAATTCCGCTACTATATCCGAGCCAATTAAATTTAATAATGCATTTAAAAATGCATTAAAATAAAACTGCAATTTACTCTCATTAAATGGCAATGAAATCGATTGAATCTGCTTGAAAGTTAATGATTCTGTGAATTTCATGAGATGAAAAAGAAATTTAATTGGAAGCTTTTTTTAGATTGATGTATAACACATTCCACTCTCTAAAAAACACCAACGATCTCGGTTTTTGAAATTTCGATTTTCTTCCTCTTGGGTCGACTCTTTTTACACTCCCACTGACTCAAGGGGAAGAGCATTGGAATTTCAAAAATCAAGATCTTTGGTGTTTTTTTTTTTTTTTTTTTTTTTTTTTTTTTTTTTTGCAGAAAGTGAAGTGTATTTTACATCAACAGTTACGCCAAACCCTCGAAAAGTTAGCCACGGACTTTTTTTCTCGAAAAATTGGCTGAATTCGACAAAAATACATGGTTTCAATTTCCTACATTATTACCCATGAGGAATTTAAATGTGCTTGTCTGGTATAAGTCTGATTGCCTGAAAACCTAGCGCGGAAAGATCAGACGGTCACGCTTTTCCGCTATTCAATGTAGATTTTTATTTTCTCTTTGGAAAAATCCGGAAATAATGCGTGGTATAAAATGAACCGCGCTGAGCAGAAATGAAGCAAGCCACATCAGCTACCCGCCCAACACGGAAATATTTTAAAAATATTGCTGAAATATTGTCAAAAACATTTTAACAATATTTTAACAATATCGAAATAATATTGCTGCAATAGTTTGTTGTCCGCCCCCCTGACAATATTGCAGCAATATTGTCAAGGTAATATTGATAATATATTTTAAAAATATTTACTTGCGATGAGGTTATCATATTCCATATCCGTGTGCGCGCACTCTAGGAGACGTCTTTGGTACTAATTTTCTTTCTAATGTACTATCGCCGAATTTAGTTTCACGCAGAGTCTCTGGTGACTATTTAGCGACGGCGCGGCGCGGCGCGTTGCCTGATAACGCTCTCATGAAGACGCACTTGTTCCTCTGTGAGCGCGTAGTCACTAACACAGACGCACATGAAACACACACAGATATTTTCGCTCATTGACCGTGAGAATTCACGTTTTTGGCTCTTTGGAATGTAAATAAAGATTCGTAATGACGTATCGCGCATNGAAAAAAAATTACGACCGAGAATATATGCGGAAAAATTCATAAATGAATGGAAGAAGAGAGAGTTATATAGGAGTAAAAAAAGGTGCTTTTACGCATGATAGTGGTGAACAGAGGTGCAGGAACTCCTTTCTAAAGCGTAAACACTTTTCTGTGAAATTTTCACCTTTTTTTGACATACAGGCGCTTTATCATCCATTCATCCCCCTCCTTCATTCGCTATTGTAACTCGCTTAAAGGCGATGGTCGGTTCGATTTTTAGGTATACGCACCCTTTTTAGACCTTTTGAGAAACCTTAAAACATATTTCTTCTTTTTCCAAATGACTATTGATTTGGACATACCAATTACCATATAGCCTACCTTGGGCAAGCTTATAACCCTAAATTTCGAAATTCAAAAATAAGAGACATCCAGAGTGTAAACGCAATACAACTATTCGCTCAAGATGGATGTCCACATTGCACATGAAAAATGCAAGACGCGACGGCGTGGGTCGTGAACTCGCAATGTTCTGCTCTATGCTACTAGTTTGAAGTACCATTACAAATAAGACAAACGAAAGCAAATACAATAGGTAAATAAAGCGTGGGAAGGGATGCGCGTTTACGACGGCGCAGAGATACAACTATTCGTACTTGATGGACGTCCGTGAAAAATTGAAGGCGCGATGACGCGAAGCGTGAGCTCACAATGCTCTGCTATATGATGTCAATGAGGCGTCGCTCAGATTCGGGAGAAAAGGTAAAAAAGAGGTCCGAACACATCTCTCCTACCCTCAGCTGTGTTACTCACGTAGTGCTTGAAGCACCATTATGAATAAGACAAACGCAAACTAGCACAATATGTAAAAATAAAGAGAGGGAAAGGATGAGCGTTTACAACGGCGCAGAGATACAACTATTCGTACTTGATGGACGTCCATGCTGCATCTGAAAAATTGAAGGCGCGATGACTCTGAGCGTGAGCTCTCAATGCCCTGCTATATGCTGTCAGTGAGGTGTCACTCAGATTCGGGAGAAAAGTTAAAAAGAGGCCCAAATACGCCTTCCCTGTCGTCGGCTATGTTGATACTCGTTCTCTCTTCCCTTTTCAGGTTCTTGTCTGATTCTCATATAGGATGGATTTGCAGACCCACGTCTTAAGCTCGTGTTCAGCTCATTGTCAGTACTGACTCGGTTCCATTGGAAATAATGGTGTTTAGATACGTCTAGTGGCTTTAAATTTTCATGTTTTCTTTAATTTCAGAAGTCTGTCGGATACTTCAATACGCTCAATTTTGCAATTTTTACTCTGTACGATCAATAAACTTTGAAACTGAAAATAGCGGAAACTTGTGCTGCTTTGCCAAAATTTTCTGAACCCCTCTCCACGTAGGGGATGTCCTAGCAGGAAACATCACATTGTGCCCCCTTAAACCGGAATCACACGCTGAATTTGGCAGCCGAAATTGAAGTCAGCAGTCATCGCTCAATAGCTGAATTTGGCAATTCGAGTTATTTTCATCCAGAAATATATCAAATCTATTCGAATAGTTCAGACAAATCCGACATTATCCGATGGTCACTGAGAATCGTTGCTGAATTATGCGCGACACGCGCATAATTCAGGCATCGGGTCTGACTTCCACATTTGAGCCACAATCAGCTCCCACATTCAGCGTGTGACTGCGGCTTTAACCAGCCAAGGGTCCACACCCTCAGATGCGAGCCAGTCTGACCCTGCTGATGTGGCTTGGTTCTTGTTTGCTAAACGCAGTCGAAATTAGACCACGAAAATAGGATCAAAGACAACATAGGTGACTGACTTGGAGCTTTGCCCTGGACAATGCTTACCGTTTCACAGCATGGTTCCCCGGTCGGAGCAAGAAAAGCGGGAAGAGGATTGTTGCCAGGAGGATGCCGTAGCAATACCCGGCCAGGTAGCAGAAGTAATAGCGAACTTTGGAGTTCTCGTCCAAGATCCGGGGGACGACGAGAACCAGGCACGTGAGCAACGGTACCGCATCCCAGCGCGCTACTTTCTCCAACTCCAGCATGATTCCTCTCTGCAAAAAGTCATTCATAATATTCATTAAACTTCCATGCAATAGAGATGTTGCATGTGCGAGGAATTTGCGATTTGACTGTTGATTCTTATGTAAAAGTTCGCGAGAATTACGATGGTGCCATTGTTTTTCTCTGAAATCAACTCCCAAACTCAAAAAAAGCTCAAACGGCCAAAATGGAGGGGATATCCCACGCTATCCTGAGAGTCCCCCTTTACATCAAGACAAATTCCCTATGCAAAGGTAGGGAGCAAATACATTGACAGGGTTGCCGCGTTTTCAGTTTTGGAGTCCCCAAATAAATTGGCAGCCCTGTCATTGTATTTACTCCCTACCTTTGCATGCAGAGTTTGCCCTGATGTAGAAGTGGACTCTCAGGATAGCGTGGGATATCCCCTCCATTTTGGCCTCAACTTGAGAGCTTTTTTTGAGCTTTGGAGTTGATTTCAGAGTATACCAGTGGGACCATCGTAATTCTCTCGAACTTTTACATAAGAATCAACAGTCAAATCGCAAATTCCTCACACATGCAACATCTTCATTCACACTAGGAGATTATCAAGTGAATCGAGTCAAATACCACCCCGTCTCCCCCAAGTAGTACCATAAGCGGATTCACACGGAAAGAAATTGGTTGCTGATTTAACAATTGAATTGTGAAAAAATATGTTCGACATGTCGTTTCAAATGTATATTTTACAATAGAATAGGGGAAAGCTAATTAAACCACGGGGGCGGTTAATTTAGCATTTTTTTAAAATTTTAAAACTACATTGAAACATGTTGGACACTTTTTTTGACTACACAATTGTCGAATCAGCAATTTCATTTTATTCCGCGCAGACACCTTGAACGGGGGGGGGGGGCTAAGGAGGGCCCGGGGGCTTTCCCAGAAAATTTTCGAAATCTAGAGCATCTTCTATGCAGTTTGAGTCAATTTTTTTATGAATAAGTACCAATAATAAGCGCCCTTTCTTCTTCTTTCCTCCGTTTCTCCCAATTTTCCTTCTTTTCTTTTTCTTACTCTTTTTTTCAAACGAACGGGAGGGGGGCCTACGCCCCCTTCCTGTATTCGCCTATGAGTAATACAGATTGCAATGAATTGGAGTTCCAATATAAAGCATTATTGCTATGAAACCGAGTGCTGTGCATGTTGCCTATCGACTGATTGAAGGGACACGTCTCACTGAAATTGAATACAGTAAAATTGAAATAATGTTCGATTTCTCATCGTTTTGCAAACAGTCTACCTTTCTGATACGTAGAGTGCATCTTGCTCAGTGTTTGCAATGGGCATTTATTGAACTAATGGCGTAAAAACTCGCAATTTAATGGTACAAATCTCAATTTAATGGTAAAAATTGTCATTTTATTGCATTGAATCATAATTTTATATCAATATTTTCATTTGTTCGCCTCTTTCCCGTCGTTTCAAGCAATTTATCCGGGCAAAGTGGTTTTTCTCTAAAACTGCCCCCACCCCCCCCCACCCCGGTTAAATACTCGATTTTTACTAATTGATCTTCCTGTGCTAACATGTCGCAAGAAAGAATCCCAGAAGTTTCATTCCTACGATTCGAACTTGGGACAAATCCCATGAAAACGTCCCGTGGATACAAGGTCCATGAAAAATACTAAAAAATACAGTTCCTATTCTTAAATGTCTTCAATATGTCTATTCTAAATATTTTGCTCATGCACTGTATAACTTAAAATTCTTGAGCTCTGATTATATCTGCGATATTTTTTTTCGACTTTTCCCCGTGCGAATTTTAAACGCGTAACAATACTACGAGTTCTACATATTTTTTTGTCGACTGCAGTCTAATTATAAGTAATTGCACGCAACGGTATTACCAAGCAAACAATTAAACTCTCTTGTCTAAAACTCGGTTGTCAGATCGTATAACTTGTTTGGATGTTTTTGTTATTCCTTATCGTCCTCCATTAAGTAAAAAGGGCGATGAAAAAAATTGAAAGATGGCATCATGGTCAATAATCGTATCTTCTTCAACGCCATCTCCTAAATCAAAGGGGCGTGGGCCGTGGGCCCCCTTGAGCTTGATTTTCGTCCTCTTCGTTAATTAGTTTTTCGTCCGGAATTCCGTACTGCCTATAAAAAATCGCCGCTTGCACACTTTCTTCGGCGATGGTGAATATTTACCATGTAAAATGGAACAAGCAAGCGTGTTTAGCGAGCTGGAACGCTTGGGTTTTCCCTATCAACCCCAAGGGCATTTCCTCGCTGGACATTTTTTATGAGCTTTGTTTGTTGAAAGTGATCCATGCGGCGACATCAAGGTCTGCGTCAGATTGGTCTATCGTCGGAGCTAGAGTACCTACATAGACTAGGTATGGCCATTCCTATCTTTTTATTACAGGAAAGTTGTTCCGCTTTTTGACTGATCTACGAGTTGTGGGCTATCATGATGCTCTTAAGACCGTAAATGAACAAACACTCCTATTGGTTGATAGGCTTTAAAAATTTGACAAATTTATGTCAACCCTTTCCTGATGTACCTTTACCAATTCTCTTTTTCGAGATCAACCCAATGTATAATATTCTTCGAATAATAATGTTTGACTTAAAATTGGACGTATTTCTGCTAAATGCACCAGGGGCAGGCGAGAAAGAAGGGGTGTGCTCGATAGTCGAGGGGCGTAAGAATAAATGGGAATTATAAAGCGCTGGTGACGTCAGCGTCAACGACGCGGCGGGAACGCACACGGTCGAGGATCTTACTCATGAGTCCTGCCCACAACGCTATTGCGCCATGCCCAAGGCTCATGAAAGCCGCTCACAGTTGGCGCATAGTTCCGTTTGGTAAAATGTACAATCCCGCTTTTCCATATCTCCAAGAGGGAATCACGCACAGTTTTACATTGTCTCTTCCCACTTGTCTATATGATTCCGATTAGTTATTATTATTATTATAATGTTTTTTTATAAGGTAATGAAATTCTTTTTTAGATACTCCATGATCATTTCATTAATTTATTTTTCTAGAGGGAACTCAACAGTTGCGTGGTGTTGCCACCTTGATCGTTTACTTACAGCCGTAAGCGCATCGTATCAGCCCGTTTTTCATGACCAATGAAAAACCGGCACACAAACGTCAATACTCTGTTTATATATGTCGTGTAGTTAAAGCTACTCGCACAAGTTGGAAAATTCGATCCAGGAATAAGATGATTTTGACGCGATGGTCTTTTTTCCAAAATGATACGTGCCAATTGGTAAACGCTTAATTTTTAGAGTTTAAACGTCCGTGTTTAAATTAGGACGCAACACTCGAGGATTTGGACTATTTTGTTCCAAGCCCTCCCTTCTTCGATCACATAGCTTTTGACTTTGATTTTGTGTTGCTTAAGTTCATCCTTCTATAATGGGTCCCTCACACTGTTAAAAATCTCGGAATGAATTGCGGAGTGTTAAAATTCTGAGTGTGTAGTTTTATCCGGAGCCAATCCCACCCACAGAAAACCACAGTGATACGAATAAGAAATGAAAGATTCTCCATGAGAGTGCGGCGTCAATTCCGTGAAAAGAGTACAGATTCCGCTCCATAATCCTCTCACTCCAGTTAGTAAGGAACAACATACTGGCGAGCTACGGCAGAACGCCGCATGAACATTCGAGAGTTGCCAAATTTCCTCGTATAAAACATGCATTTGTGAGGAAAGTTTTGCGCGATTTTCCCTGAAATTTTTCGATATTTTAGATTAAATCGCGAAAATAATTCGTCGTCTTCCGGACGAAGGAACGTAACTCCATTCCAAGCTTGCCAAATCGTTTTGCTCCATTCTCCATTCCAAGTTTGCCAAGTTTGCCAAACAGTTGTCTGAGTCGATTCGTAAAATAAATTGATTTATAAAGAAATTAAATAATGATGTAAAAAAATTAATTAATTTATTTATTTTACATAGTTGTATCCTTGCAATTTTCATCAAAATTTTTTCTGATTTTTGCATGAAATCTGAAGAAAAATTCAGTTAGAAATGTCCAAGATTCTCCTAGTTGCCGTGCAATTTGCGAGGGGAAATTTGGCAACATCGAAATAAAGTTACGTTCTTTCGTGACGGAAACGATGAATTGCCTGCAAAATGAAAAGAAAAATATTCACAGTTTTCCCGGTAAATTTGAAATTTTTGAGGGAAATGTGGCAACATCTGAAAGCTCATACGGCGTTTTTCTTAGCACGGCAGTGTCGGATCCGTAAGGAGATGCATCCCGGATTTCACCACGAGATTTTGAACACCAACTTGTGGCCGCTAGACCACATGCAGTGGCGTGGGCCAAGGCCGATAGACTGTTAGTCTAAGATAACCTTTTGAATCTCCTGATCGGGCGGGGTTGATTTTCTCCCGTGGCGTGAATAGCGATGTATTGACTGTCATGCCATTTGAACCTATGGCAAAGAATCGATTATTTAGGTGTTCGCTGCGAATACCCTGTTAATCGATCCTATTCCATAGGTTTAAATGGCAGATCAATCGATGTATCGCAAATCACGCCACGCCACTGATTTGCTCCACTCCACAGTTCCGCTTCTTTCTAGAAGTTCCTCCTGGATTTAAATTCCCTGGATTTTGAATTCCCTCAACCCCATAAACTTAATATACGGTCTCTAAAAAATCATTGCGTGAAGAAGGTAAAATAGGGATTCCTGGCAACGTGGGTCAAGAAACCATTCAGTTACCGACTGACTTGAGTCTATCGACCTTGAACTCAGCTTGTCCTGATGGCTGATTATTGAAATTCATAGACAGAGCGATGGTCAAACAAAATATTAGGAACATAGAGTGATCCTATCGGTTGAAACGGATGGTTGTGACAGACCAAGGGGGAAAATTCATGGTCTCTTGTGGGTTTCCGTTAGTAAGTCTATTGCAACCACCCGCTTCCATTAATAGGATCGCTCTATTTGCCTTTTGTCCTCTTTGTCTATCGATTTCAATTATCAGCCCGCTGGAGGATTTGAGGTCCCCCCCAGGCCGCATTTTCAAGATTTGTGCCTTTTGCGTCTTTGGACACCCCCAAAAATATCTTACATCAAAGGCGTTTCTTTATGAAAGTACCTTTGATTCCACTGGTCAACACGGGCAAATTTGCATGCAATTTTTAATCTGAGTGCGGGTAAATTTTTAGCGGTGATTCCGAGAATGACCTCTGTTTTCTGTGTCAGATCGATTTTTCCCGGAAAAATCGGAATTTCCCCTGAAATCGAGCCCCTCCAGAGAAAAAGCCATTTTCTAGAAAATCTGTGCACGATGGAGAAAAACTGAGGTCATCTTCGGATTTAGCAGCTAAAATTACATCGGAGGCCATGTATTGCATGCCTATCAAATAAAGTTTCTTTTCTGTTCCTAATATCGAGGTTTTTCCGAACAAGTGCTCACTGCTCCGTTCCGCTCACATAACAGTTAAAGCACCACGTAAAATGATTGTTTTGCGTCGGAAAGGAAAAAAAACTTTTTTTCTCATGTAACAGGTGAATTTATTCTCACTCAATTTTTGCCGGTGAAGCTGACTTTTGTGTCATTCGTAAATGTATCAAATTTTTGGAAAATCGATTTTCCGAAAAAATGCATTTATTCAGCCAGGAAAATTCCCTATTTTCAGTATGTTGATTTTCCGAAGGTTTTGGAAAATGTCAATTTCGGCTTCAGCGGCAAAAATTGAGTGGAAGCAACTTTATTTGTTACCTGAGTACCTAATTATAACACGAATATAGCACAAAACCTTCGTTACAAATTTAAAAAAAAATTGAGCAAAATACTACCCGCGGGTTGATATCATATTAGAGGCTTGGATGACGAGACGCAAATGTGTAGTTTTCTAAAAAAATTGAGATCTTAATGATTCCAAGTAAAGCTAGTCTTAATGCATATTCTGCGAAAAAATTTCACCCAAATTCCAATTTTTAAGCATGAAAAAGTCAGTTTGAACTTTCTTTCCGCCACAAGGATCCATGTTATTCCGATTCTTCAAACACGTATTTCTCGAAATAGCGAAAACTGCATTTACGTGGCTTGTCCTCCGAACCCCTCAATTGGAACACGTACATAGCACAAAACCTTTGCTACATAACGATAAAATGGAGAAAAATGCCTGCCTGCGGGTTGATATCATATGAATTGGACGTTAATTTATTGTCATTACTTACGAAAGAGCGTTGAAATCTGATGAAGGAAGTCAAAACACTAAAACAAACCGCCGACGGAGAGTTCAAAAGCAAAACATCACAACATCCCCGGGATCCTCACAAAAGCTGGACCATAATAATCATGACCTTTTTGAGACGCTGCTCCCAACGGTCATTCCGAGCGGACCGCACTCACTAAGTTAATGACCACGGTCTCACGCACGGCGCAGGCGCAGGACATCCCGAATTGAGGAAAACGTAAAAAAAGAAGAAAAAAATCGCGCAACACGAATCGATGAAAACACGAGCGAGAAAACTGGTCGCGCCGACATAACGGCTCGAGACAAAAGTCCTGATCTCATTTTAAAATCGAAGAGCGGTGATTCCGTGCTACGAAAGAACGCCGTAAGACCCTACGAACGTTGTCGAATTTTCTTCAATGAAATAAAAACGATCATGGAAACGTGGGAATTATTTCCTTTCAATTTCCCGAAGAATTGTGCTCGCAGTTTAATCTAAAGTATCTCATAATGTCAAAGAAAACTAGATACATAGTAAATAAATAGAAATTATACTTTATTCTACCCTTTCGGGTTTATAACGTCACAGAGATTTTATTTCATTAAACTTATGTAAAATATATCTGAATAATTTTGAGTATTTAAAATTTTAAAAGTTTTTATATTTAAAAAAAATCTAAAATTACAAAAATGCTAAACAGTGGTTATATACTTAAAATCAGCTATAGGTTAATTACTAAAAATTACTAAACATTGAATTTATTTGTTCATAATGAGGGAACGTAACTTCATTGTCGTACACAGAAATAGAAATATGGTTGAAATATATTCTCTCTTATTATCTTCTAGACGTTAATAGTTTTTAGCATGTCTCTAAAAAAGAAGTTCCTGACGTAATTATACGTAGGACAGTTGAACAGTAAATTTTTTTAAATTTTCTAACTGCTGTATATTACTTTTTTCTTTAAGTGTAATTTTATACGTACACTGGTGAAAAATGCCAAACAAAAAGATACTTAGCTTTCCTCAGATGAAATATTTCATTGGGGGGAAATTTGACAACATTTGAATGTTCTTACGACTTTCTTCCTTAGCGCGGGAGAGTGGTGATGATGGTTGATGATCCGATGAATACTTATGCGACATCGCTTAAACGAGCTGGTGGATTAAGATTGTAAGCTCGAAGCATAAATTGGACTACATTTGGACTTTTTATGCTAAAAAGAACTATGTTATACGCAAACCCTATGCACATAGTTCCTTTTAGCATAAATTCGTCCATTTTGCATTAAGGAGCCTCTATTTTTGGCTCATTCTAGAAACGACGATGTGCCATGAGTGTCCCAATGCAGATAGGTGTTATGATTGAGATGGAATTATTGGTTTCATTTTTTAAAATGAAGGCCAATTAACCATGGAATTTGCACACGTTAAGAACCTTACGATTTATACCTGCAGTTTAGAAGCGAGATATCTGTGAGCTTTCGCCGATTAGACTAGTTCATCAATAAATTAAAGATATTGCCGAGATTATCAGAGTGTCCTTGGTGACAATATTATTGGAAAAGTGCCCGTAAAATTATTTTCAAACATTTTCATGATGATATTATAATACCAAAAGACGTTCAACCGCATATTTGTGAAAGCTTTCCGACAGTATTTTTGAAAACATTAGAATATTGTATTTAGAATCATTTGAAACATCCCTCCAATACTTCATACAAATTTAACTATTGTAAACTTTTTTTTCTAGAAATAAATAACAGGTTTAATAATTTTCCCCAAAATATTGTCAAATTTTGGAATTGCGCCCTCTGAAGTTATAATTGTTTTTCTTTTTTCTTTTTTTTAAACATACCTACCTATGTTTATGCGTCGCTATTTTACCGCCCTCTGATGCTCTGCGACATTCTAACGTCATATANGTACCAAGCAAACTGTTGAATTGTAAAAAATCAACGGGCGTATTGCTAATTGCATCCGGTCGCCTCGAAAGGAGTTAGTCCCGTTTACTAATTTTGAGTAAACCGGTTTCTTCTTTCGACACAACGTATTTTCTTCTACCAAGCATGCTGTTGACTTAAAAAGAGGCAACGGCCGAACTCAGAAGGCGTTCACCCCGTTTACTAATTTTAAAGAAACTGGTTTCTTCATTCAAGCAAAAGTTGGCTTATTTTAAAACAACGTTTATTTTATTTAAGAAAACACGATTCGCTTGTCTCAAGCGAATCATGTTGTCTTACATGAAGAAAACCGTTGGTTTCTTCCAAGTCAAACCCGTTTTGAAATAAGTAAAAAATCCAAGTAGACGCGTTTACTTAAATTCAGTAAATCTTTTTTTTCCGTGTAGAGTGACCTTCCCTCCTCCTTTGTAAGAAGGCAAGCTCAGTCCCCCTCCCCCTTAAATAGCTTACGTAATACTCGAACGATTCCATATCCGTATGGAGAATTATTGTTATTATATTTCTATATTTCCATTTTTGCTCTTGCGAATAAGATATTATTGAACTCGTGAACATTGATCGCCGATCAGATGCCCAGTGCGCAAAGATTTTGGTCCAGTTGTGCATTCATTATGGGAGCCAAGTTCGAAGGAAGGGTTGCTAGGTTGCGCAATAAAAAGGTGATATTTTATATGGATTTAAGTGGAAGAAAGGTACTGATTTCCAGCAATATCTGGCAACAACAATCAGGGGATCCCCATGCGCGCGCGTTGCGCGTCAACAGATTCCTGGACATTTTAAATTTATAATGAATATTTCTCCGCGGCATTCATAACTTTTATTGAATTATTCAGGTGATCGTGCGACGATGAACCGGTTCAGCAAACCTTTGATTCACTTAGAGCGGAGAGCGTACTCATGATTTTTGCATCATTACGTAGCCTCTGCAGATTTTAATCTGTTTGCGTCAGTGAGTTCTTTTTGCGTGGGATATTTGGTCTACGTTTTGCAATTTGGAACTATAAATTCTGGCTCATCTGAAAAAACACTTAAGTGCATACGGAAACTAATGGCACATGTGTTGTTTTTAAAGTGGGCCAGAATTTATGGTTCCAAATTGCAAAACGTAGTCCATTTGTACCGGGAGACACTCTCTTCATAAACTTGTGAGCTGGCTTCAAAAATTGTTAAAACGTCTTAATCATAGAATGTAAATTTAAGGGGCTTGGAGGACAGTGCGCACGCACGCAATGTTTCCTATTTCAAGAAATACGTGTTTCAAGTTCCAAAATTACCTACCCTACAGCCTTATGGCAAAAAGGAAGTTCAAATTCACTTTTTAATGCTTAAAAATTTGATGCAAGGAATGAATTTTTCACAGAATACATTTGAAGACCAATTGGACTGCATTTTGCAATTTGGACCTATAAATTCCGGCCCAGTTTAAAAACAACGTATGTGCCATTAATTTCCCTATGCACATAAGTGTTTTTTCAGATGAGCCAGAATTTATAGGTCCAAATTGCAAAATGCAGTCCAATTTTAGTTTAAATAATTGATTCCGCAATTTTTTTAAAAAACTGCACTCATGCGCCTCATTTTTTCTTTCTTCTCCTCCAAGATATGAAGTTCGTTAACCTCTACGAAACCTTCATAACACACACGAGTTGGCGGATTCCATCATTTGTCATTAAATTTTTCTATTTTTTATTTCATTTTAATTCATTTCTTTTTAAAATCCTAATACTTTTATTGTTATCCCGGAAAAGATAGAAACTCATCAGAATTTATTCGCTTAACACCAACTGAATGGCTCATGGTCATTAGCTACCAATATTAGTAACATTAATAGCGTAATGCATATTGGACCATTTTTGCCGCAGAGAGAAACATCCGAATCCCAAAATTTTTCTAGTATTGCAATTGAGGGTCTTAGAGGACAAGGCGCATAAGTGCAGTTTTTGCTATCTCAAGAAATGCGTGTTGAAAGTTTCAAAAATATATGTAGCTTCATGGCGGAAAGGAAGTTTAAACTCACTTTTTGATGCTTCAAATTTGGATTTTTGCTATGAATTTTTCACAGAATATACTTTCAAACTAGTTTTAGTTGCGTTCATGAATATCTAATTTTTTTTAAAAAAACTGCACTTATGCGCCTTAAGAATAGCCTAAAGATAGGGATACAGGCTTTCATACTTTCTTTCTCTCATTCTGTGTAAAAACCCTGCTGTTGAACGAGGTGATGTATAACCAATGATGAGTGTTAAGCTCGCGGGCTATTCACAAGTATCTGATTACACTCGACGATAGGAATCACGACAGATTCCCAGTTATGCGGCATGACTTCATTTTTAGAAGCCGCTAAGTTTGATTACTTGATTCCCCGTAAAAATGAATGACTTCTAGTCTTGCAAATACACTATGAATGAATACGCTACGCTAATCTTGATGGAATGTTAATGTTAAAGTGTCGCATGGAAGTGTTGAAGCGCTCCGTGGCATTCCGATCAGCCCTTTATCTAGTTTCATACACGGATATGCCTTTCTGTTAAATTGCCAGTAAATCAAGCGTGTATTTACATGGTCCGCAAGAAGCCTGCCAGTGAGCATGGTTCCGTGTTCTTAGTCTCTCTTTGAACATCGCCTTCCCTTCGGGAAGCTCACATCGGCGGCCAAACTTAAAAACTGAGTAAGTACACCTCAAACTATATATTTTGAGTAAAATTCTCGGTGATACAACCGAATAAAACAGTATTTTCTGTTATTTTGAATCAACTTCATGTAGCTTCCACCATTTCTTTAGATCTCGTACAACCCCGACGGCTTAAGCGGCTGCTTTAATCAGCATGGATCACGTAGTGTCCATATGTAGTCCACACTGTTCCTGAAAAAGCACTGTGTGAAAATAGTGTTTGAAATTTTGGTTTTCCATCTAGTACGTGGGAGGGGCCATCGTTACCAATCTCTGGCGGTTATAATATTTACTGCACCTCTTACCAATATCTTGCCATATGTGGTAGAGGTCTGGATGAAATAGATCTTTTCGAATGTTATATATAAAACTAATCTCAAAACAGCGTAAATATGCCTGACAACATAGAGAGAAAAATTAATACAAAAGTTGGATCAATAACATGGAACATAGAATAACCCAAGTCATCGGTTGAGTCAACGATTTTTTGTTTTTCTACTTTTTACTGCGTGCTTGATTCACTGCAAGCTACAGTACAAAAATTTACACAAAATTTAGGTTGCTTTGTGTTCGACTTCCAATTACCTACTAGCTATCAGGGCCGGA